GTAGCAAGGGTTCATTTGGCTCCAGGGCGACCAGAACTGGGGGAGAGCTGAGATACGCCTTCAACTGAGTGAGGGCACGTTCAGCTTCCTCCGTCCAAGTAAACGGCCCGGAGCGTTTGAGGAGCTTAAATAAGGGTAGCGCCTTCTCTCCCAGCCTCGATATGAACCGACTTAGGGCGGCCATGCAACCGGTGATGCATTGCACATCCCTAAGCTTGCTGGGGGGGCGCATCCGCTCTATAGCTCGTATCTTCTCGGGGTTGGCCTCGATGCCTCGGGCAGAGACCAAAAACCCGAGAAGCTTGCCCGCAGGTACACCGAACACGCACTTATCGGGGTTCAGTTTTATGCGGGCGGAGCGGAGACTCTCAAAAGTTTCCGCTAGATCCGAGAGTAAGGTCTCTTGGTTGCGCGTCTTTACAACCAAGTCATCGACATAAGCCTCAACATTACGTCCTATTTGGCTACCCAAAGAAATTCGAGTAGTACGTTGAAAAGTAGGACCTGCATTCTTTAACCCGAAGGGCATTGTCGTATAACAATAAGTTCCTATGGGGGTAATGAATGCAGTTTTTTCCTCATCCTCCCTAGCCATGCGAATCTGATGGTAACCAGAGTATGCATCTAGAAAACACAAAAGGTCGCACCCCGCTGTGGAGTCGACAATCTGATCTATGCGAGGCAGGGGGTAAGGGTCCTTAGGACATGCCTTGTTAAGGTCGGTGTAGTCGATGCACATCCGAAGCTTGCCGTTCGCCTTGGGAACGACCACCGGGTTCGCCAGCCACTCCGGATGGATGACCTCGCGGATGAATCCGGCCTCCAGAAGTCGCGCCACCTCCTCGCGGATGAAGGCTTGACGTTCCGGGGCCTGCCGTCGTACTTTCTGCCGGACCGGCCTTGCGCCCGACCGCACGGCGAGACGGTGCTCAATCACCTCCCTGGGGACCCCGGGCATATCCGCCGGTCTCCATGCGAAGACGTCAGCGTTTGCCCGCAGGAAAGAGACGAGCGCGTCTTCCTATTTGCCATCCAGAAGACCACCGATTCGTGTGGTCTTGGACGGGCCGTCGCCCAGGGCAACCTCCTTGACCGGGACCTCGTCGCACGTGACTATCCGCTGCCTCGGGGCGGCGGGGACGGAGGTGCCAAGCCTCTCGTCGCCACCCTCGGGCTTGGACGCAGCGGCGAGGTGGTCCGCGCGCTGCTCCATACAAGCGAGCGCGACTTTGAGGTCGCCATGGACAGAGATGGGGCCACCGGGGCCCGGCATCTTCATCTGGAGGTAGGCGTAATGGACTGCCGCCATGAACTTCACCAACGCGGGCCTCCCTAGGACCGCGTTGTAGGGCAGACTGAGGTCCGCGACATCAAAGTTCACCCGTTCCGTGCGGAAGTTGGCGGATCCACCGAAGGTGACCGGGAGGTCGATATGACCTGGCGGCCAAGTGTGACCCGGCGTCACACCGATAATCGGCTGGGACGGCCGGAGCACCATCCCCGGGGCCTTGATAGCGTCAAAGGCTGCGGGGGAAAGGATGTTGAGGGCTGCTCCCCCATCAATGAGGACACGCCCCAGCTTCACATTGCAAACAGTGGGGGAAACCACCATTGCGATCTGTCCTCCCCGGGCAACGCACGGTGGGTGGTCGGTCTGGTCGAAGGTGAGGGCAACCTCCGACCACCGCGCCCGGCGCGTCGCCTCATGAGTAGGGGCCGCGGCCAGAAGCTCTCGCTTCATGGCCTTGAGGCTCCGGCGAGAAACGTGAGCACACGCTCCCCCATCGACAGTGGCAATGGTGGCCCCAGGCTCTTGGAAACCTAGGTCATCATCGCCGTCATCGATGTCCTCGGCGGGGGCCTTCTGCTTGGCCTCACTTCGCCGATTGCCGGAAGGAACCGCCGGGGACTTGCCCTCTCGGCGCTCCTGCCTCCTCTCCTCCTCCCACTTCCTCGTCCGCTCAGCCAAACTTTTGACTGCGCGGCAGTCCGTGAGGTCGTGAAGGGAGGTGTTGTGGACGATGCACCACTTGCCGGTTGGGCGCTCCCTACTGGGAGCGCCGGCCTCCTTCTTTTTGTCGGTCGCAGGCCTCCCCTTTCGGGTGGCCCGCGAAGCGCCCTCGACGGCGAGGACATGACCCTCGTCGTCGGAATGGGCTGACCTCTTCTTCTTCCTCCTGTCACGCCGCCCTGTCCGAGCAGCGGATCCGGGGGCGGCCGAAGCTGCCACACCGGAACCGGAGGGGTTCCAGGTCCATGCCTCTTCCTTACGAGCCACTCGGTCCGCGAGCTGAAAAAGCTCCGCGGTAGTCTGGGGCTCTTTGGAGGCGATCTTTTCGAGCATGCGGTTGTGCCGCACACCCCCCCTGAACGCGTAGATCACCGCGTGTGCAGGGATGCATGGTATGGTGTTGCGGACTTGACAGAACCGCTGAATGTATGAGCGAAGTGACTCATCATCCCTTCGCTGGACTGCATGTAAGTCCGCTTCTTCACCTGGGTGCGGATATGTGCCTTGAAAGTTCATGGTGAACTGTTGGCACAAATCCTCCCAAGAGTGGACGGACGCGGGTGGCAAGTTCATTAGCCAACCCCGTGCCTGTCCCTTCAGGGCCATGGGAAAGAAATTCGCCATGACCCTGTCGTCACCCCCGGCGGCCTCGATCCCGGTCGTGTAGACCTGGAGAAACTCGGCGGGGTTGACGCTCCCGTCATATTTTTCGGCGATGGTGGGCCGGAACCTTGGGGGCCAACGGACGTTCCGAAGGCTCGCCACAAAGGCTCTACAGCCGACACCACCAACCGGGGGCACGGAGGGCTGATCCCCGCGTCCGTGTTGATGTGACACTCCGGACGAGGAGGCGCCCTCCGTTGCGTGGGCAGCACGTCGGCCATTACGCTGGCGCTCGATACTGATGCGGGCATCCGGCCCCCCACGCAGATCTTCCTGGGTCGGAGGCGCTGACGAAGGAGTGGCGGCCGAATGGCGAGCAACAGCCGCCGCTCGCCGCGCCCTCCGCCTTGACGATACGGAGCCGGTGGTAGCAGCGCCAGAGGTCTTGGTGGCGGAGGACCGCCCACCAGCACCTAGGCGCTGCCGTGCCGTCATGACCAAGTTGGCCACGTCGTCCAGCCAACGTTGGGCTGGAGACTCCGGGTCAGGGACAATGGGCGGGTGACGTAGGAGCGCGCCCTGGGGCGTGCTGCCGTCGCCGTAGACGAGGAGGCGACGCTCCCCATCTCGCCGCCCTTCCCCATCACCCGTGGATGTCGAAGTCGCGGATCCTTCGACCCTTTCGAGCGCCTCCTCCCGCCTAGGACTTTGGCGTGGAGGGGGCGGTGGAGTACGAGCTCGACGGCGTGGGTTTGGCTCCCCGTCGTCACCGCTAACACTCGGAGAGAGGTTGTGTGCCTTTGCTTGTTCAGCCATTGGGTTGAACAGGAAAAGCTTGGCGCACACGAAAGAGTGCGAGAGCTTAGAAGAACACACGCAGAACCCCCTACCTGGCGCGCCAGATGACGGAGCGTGGGGCTCCTCACCGGGAGACCGCGCAGGCCCCCCTTTGCCGGTTCGGCCGGGGGCCCTGGGTGAGATTCTAAGCTCCTAGTCTGTGTGTGGAAGGTTCGCGAGAAAGGAAACACACAAGACACGGGCGATGTATACAGGTTCGGGCCGCTGAGAAGCGTAATACCCTACTCCTGTGTTTTTGTGGATCTATGTATCAAGAAGCTACAAAAAAGCTGGAGAACCAGAGAGCTCTTACTCTCTCCCTCTCTGGTCGTTCTGGATCCGAAAAAAAAAAATCCCCCATCTAAGTGGGCAAGGTCCTCCTTTTATACCTCAAGGGGATACCACATGCACCATCTCTCTCTTTTTTGTGGGGACTTATCCTATCTTTTCATAAATAGACGGAGACTTGTATGGTTGCCGTCCGAATGACCTTCTGATGGGACGGCCCATACCTACCTCCACTTCCGCCGGAAGCAGGCGCGACGTGGGAACATGGCTGTCTGCTGACGACATGACCAGTGTCAGACCGGTCACAAATCGGTCATTCTTGTCCACCACGCGTCAGTTTATCAATCTGCATGTTCGCTCCTCTTCATACAATGTCTTGCTTGTAATGGTTAGGATGAAGCCTGGTATATATCTGACCGGGACCAACGTGCCATCTCCAGGAGCTAACACGCCGGCTCCGGCTAGGGACGAGTGCTTGGAGGCTCTCATCCTGACGGGATGGGGCGAGGCGTGTGTCAGACCGCCTGTCGCCACCTAACCCACGATCTGATCGGTCTGTGACTGGTCACTGACCGGATAAACGAGCGCGCTGCACTGCGTTACATGCGGCGTGACGCGCTCGTCCAAACCGCAATAAATGTGGTTAGGTGAGCCCCGCTATGCTCACCTACCCCATATACGCGGCGCAAAACCCACAAGGGGTCGGGGCGCCTCGGCCCTCGGGGCCGAGACGGGAGCGGTCCGACCCCTCGGGGAGACAAAGAGAAGGGCGGCCGTATCACCCTCGGGCCCGACCTCCCCCCGAGTGGGTTAGGCCACGTGGGTGATCGTGTCTGCCTCAAGTCTCTAAGTCATGATACTCCCGGTCCCATGTCACCGACACCCCTAAAAAAGCACACTATACAACCCAGACATTTATTTATAATCTATGGATAATTGATAAAGGTAAAAATTATATAAATACATGAAAAAAAATCATACAATAGATAATAAAGAAAATTTTAGAACTTATATCTACTATATTATCACACAATTCTCCCGAAGCAACGTGCGGGATACCCATCTAGTATCGAAACGATTGGGAACCGTACGTGATATCGTCGTTTCGCATTGCTGTTTCCAAATCAGCTTGTACTACTACTACTTGTTTACAGACAGGCACCGCATGCGCAGTGGTGAGTAGTACCACTAACCACCAGCCAAACGCACGTGCAAATCCAGAAGTCGAGAAAAACAGCGACTCTACTACAGGTCAGTACAAATATACCAGCCCTGAGCCACCAGCTCGCACACTCCCCTCGTTTCGTCGTGCACGAGCCGGAGCAGGAGACGAAGGGTTTCAGCCATGGTTAGCCTCCGCCTCCCCCTCATACTCCTCTCCCTCCTGGCCATCTCCTTCTCATGCAGCGCCGCGCCGCCGCCGGTGTACGACACGGAGGGCCACGAGCTGAGCGCCGACGGGAGCTACTACGTCCTCCCGGCTAGCCCCGGCCACGGAGGGGGCCTCACGATGGCGCCCCGCGTGCTCCCCTGCCCGCTCCTCGTGGCGCAGGAGACGGACGAGCGCCGCAAGGGGTTCCCCGTGCGCTTCACCCCGTGGGGCGGCGCCGCGGCGCCGGAGGACAGGACCATCCGCGTCTCGACCGACGTCCGCATCCGCTTCAACGCCGCGACGATCTGCGTGCAGTCCACCGAGTGGCATGTCGGCGACGAGCCGCTCACGGGGGCGCGGCGCGTGGTGACGGGGCCGTTGATCGGGCCGAGCCCGAGCGGGCGGGAGAACGCGTTCCGCGTGGAGAAGTACGGCGGTGGGTACAAGCTGGTGTCGTGCAGGGACTCGTGCCAGGACCTGGGCGTGTCAAGGGACGGCGCGCGGGCGTGGCTGGGCGCGAGCCAGCCGCCTCACGTCGTGGTCTTCAAGAAGGCCAGGCCAAGCCCACCAGAGTAAACGAGGGGAGGGGAGGGGGGGGGGGTCACTCATGCGTTGCGTGGTGCGGTGGTGCCTCTGTAGCGTGTATAGGTAGTAGGGTGCGTGCGTGCGTGCGCATGTGCTGGTTGAATAATGTGTGAAGAGGCTAGCAGGTATTGCTCCGTGGTTCTGTTCTCATGGTCGTGTCATGTCTGTTAGTCGTGATAACTCGTGAGCACTGAGCAAGTGAGCAGGACTGCCTCTGGCTGTCTGGCCCAGCCGGACTTGTTAAGTCCAAATGGAATGAACGAATTGTGCGGGATATGGATTTTCATCTTTGGGGATGTTCTTCGTTGCTCATCTAAGTGGTTATTATTTTTTTTAAAAAAATATTAACAACATAATATATGAAATATATCACTCCACAAATATACAATGCCAAATTCGACTTCTATTAGTTACAACAAAAACTAAAAGGCAAATTTTGCTACAGGACATCGCAATTGTGTGGTTTTAGATCAAGGACACTGCAAAAACAGACTTTTGGGGAAAGACACTCCATAATTGTGGATATTTACCGATAGACATCACGGAGTCTAAATGAAACTTGCCGTGCTGATGTGGCAGTCGGGAGCCTTTTTTAACGTGGTCGGACCGAAATGCCCCTGCACCTTATCTCTTCGTATGGAGCTGTTTTGGCTCAATTCGCCACCACCATCGACGAAAGAACTTGCTGGTACGAGAACTCGCGGCGGTTGTGTGGCCTGATGCGGGCGGCCGGCCGGCGACGTAGCGCAGCGCACTCGTGCAGGAACAGCGGCCGGCGCGAAGGTGGAGCAGCCGCCCCGCGAAAACGGAGCCGCAGCCGGCACGGTGGTGGTGCGGCAGCGCGGCTCGCGGCTGCAACAGAAGACGACCACCGCCACCGTAGACGACGACGCCGTAGACAATCGCCACCGCCGCCTCCTCGTGGTGTCCCCGGGCTCCGTCTCCATCGCCAACCCGTCCATAGCATCGTCGAGTTGTAGGGCAGGCTCTTCAAGCGTTCAAGCATCAAGCAACAAGCAACAACGAGCACATCCAATTCACCAAATCCAACAAGCAACAAGAAGTAGTCAAGTAGCCAGCCGTCCTCTCCGTCTTCCAATCTTCTCCAAGCAGCAGCAACACCAAGCAACTCCAGATCCAGGAACATCGTTCTTGCCTCATCCACACGCATGACGCATCCATGTGCACCGGTGGCGGGAACCCCGTCCAAACCATCAGCCCTATCGTCCCTCACTACGCGCGGCTAGTCGTCAATCACAGCGCCGTCCTCGCCGCACATTGCGGCACTCGTCAACGCCAACCGTCGCCGTCGCTCATCATGGCGCGCAGCCCCTGGTCCTCTCCGCTAATCAGGCCTAGTCGTCCGCCAACTGCAAGCCGTCTGCCTTCGTGCCGGCCGTTGCTCTTGCACGATTGCGCTGTGCTGCGTCGCCGGCTGCCCGCATCAGGCTACACAGCCACTGCGAGCCGCGCCGTTGCTGTATTCGTCGAGCCGCACTCAACACGTCGAGAGAGAAGTGGATGGCGTTCCCCACCTCCACCGCCGCCGGCTTGGAGATCATCGCCGAGGAGGGCCCTAGCGGAAGCAGCGCCCAACAGCAGCAGGCATAGCATCCGGTGGCGGCGGCGGGGCGCGACAGCGGAGGCACGGCGGGGATGGGGAGCGGCAAGTCGTCGGTGGACGGCGGCAGCGGCCACCGCGCGTTGTAAGACTCGCCGCCGCGGGTGTTGCAGGAGCTCAAGGACGCGCTGTCCAGCCTGCAGCAGACGTTCGTCATCTCCGACGCGATGCGCCCGAACTGCCCCATCTTCTACTCCAGCGAGGGGTTCTTCACCATGACCGGCTACTCCCCCAAGGGAGATAAGGCACAGGGGTATTTCGGTCCGACCACATCAAAAAAGGGCTCCCGACCGCCACGTCAACAAGACAAGTTTCATTTAGACGGTGCGGTTTCCATTGGCAAATATCCACGGTTATGGAGTGTCTTTCCCTAAAAATTTGTTTTTGCGGTGTCCTTGAGCTAAAACCACACAATTGTGATGTCCTGTAGCAAAATTTGCCAAACTAAAAATAGTTATTGTACATTCGTAATTATATTTGTTACAACGTTGTATTTTGAAGACCGTGTCGAAACCCAAAAATATTTATATTTTTGGGACAAAGGTAGTACTCCCTCATTCCCTAAATATTTGACGTCGTTGACTTTTTTAAATATGTTTGATCGTTCGTCTTATTCAAAAACTTTTGTGAAATATGTAAAACTATATGTATACATGAAAGTATATTTAACAATGAATTAATTGGTAGAAAAAGAATTAATAATTGCTTAAATTTTTTGAATAAGACGAATGGTTAAACATATTTTAAAAAGTCAACGGCGTCAAATATTTAGAGATGGAGGGAGTAGTATATTTTTTCTATAAGCTTATAACTTTGACTAATAAAAAAAATCAAATAATTTATAATATGAAAGAGATAGTAAATTTTTACAGATTTATTGGCAAAGGGAATCAGTCAATGCTTAATTTGTAAGGGTACAGGTAAAGAAACGAAGGGAGTAAATAGATTATAGAAGTACGTACTGACGCTAAGCTTGAAGGTTGCATTTCACCTTAGCCCACTTCAACGGGAGGTATCAGGTATATATCATTTAGTGCCACTTGGCCTGAGACCGGAACCATTGAACCTGGCCTCGGTTATGGCGTCGATCCGCTGTGCAATCTCCGGCGAAAGATGGTTCGCCCAGTCCCCGACCTGCCCGCGACGGAAGAATGAGCTATTCGCCGCCGTGCCGACCACGAGCTCCGTCTTGCCGCTCTTGGTCGCCTCCAGGCCGATCATGTGATCGAACGAGCACAGCCTGACGATGGCGTCCACCACGCCACCTTCCTCCTCCTCCGCGCTGAACGGCAGGCCGACGAACTCCGCCAGCCTCCGGACGTGCGCCGCGGCGTCGAGCTTCATCTCCTCGTACCTGAAGAAGAGGACCTGCTCGGGGCGCGCCACGTGCGCGCCCCAGTAGCCGAGGACGTGGTCCCAGTACGGCCCGGACGGCGACACGCCGAGGCAGAACAGCTCGGCGATGGCCTCCGGCGACATGGGCTCCTGCCCCTCACGGGCCCTGAACTTGTTGGCGAAGTCCCACATCGAGATCAGGTTGTCCTTGGGGTCGCGGCACACGTACACGACCTTGCAGCCCGACGCCGCGGCGGCGCTCGGCAGCGACGTGAACGGGACGTGCGTCGCGAACAGCCTCGGGTCCGGCAGCCTGCCCAGGTCCGGGACTCTGTTGTTGGTGTAGAGCTGGTACTCGAGGAAGTTGACGCACTCGTGGGGGCCGAGGGAGTTGAAAGGGTGGTCGGCGGCGGCGTCGGCGGGGTGCTCCCTCCGGTGCACCGTGGCGTAGAGGAGCGCCTTGATCCACGTCGTGCCGGACTTGGGCAAGGTGGCGACGATGATGTCGGAGGGGCGCGCGGCGAACCGCGCGTCGGCGACCATCGCACCGACCATAGGCATGAGGCTACTGTACCAGCCTTTGTCGTGGCGGTAGAGCGGGAGGAAGGGCATGGGTTCTGAGCTCGGCCAGGAGGACACCGAGTCGGTGAACTGCTTGTAGAGTTCCTCGTCAGTTTCGGCGTCGACTTCATGCGAGGGCGAGGGAGAGGTTTGCACGGAGGAGGAAGACATGGCGCAGCTAGTAGCAGACTACCAAGGTGGCGCTGTTGGGCAAGGACGATAGATTTTGCGTATGGATCGGTTGGAAGAAGACAAAGTAGCAAGATATATTATCTTTCCCAAATCAAAACGACTGATGAGACAAGTTACCTGCCAATAATCTTTCCTAATGTATCGAATACATATATGACTTCGTGATAGATCCATGTGTGTAAAGTTTCGGCGTGTCATATCGGATATATAGACACATATTTAAAGTATTAAATATAGTCTAATAACAAAATAAATTACAGAATTTGTCTTAAACCACGAGATAAATTTATTAAGTCTAATTAATCTATCATTAGCAAATATTTACTGTAGCACCACATTATTAAATCATGGCGCAATTAGGCTTAAAAGATTGTCTCATAATTTACACGCAATCTATGTAATTAGTTATTTTTTTCATCTATATTTAATACTCAATGTATGTGTCCATACATTCGATGTGATAGGGTATAAAATTTTGCCAAGAAATCTAAACAGGGTCTATATTCCCATTGCTACATCTCACTAATTCAATGTTTCAATTACTTAAAAAGTACACATGTGTTAAAATAGGTGAAGGCAACAAGAAGTCTAATTATTTTTTACAGTGTCATACCTTTCGTTGCGGGTGAACGCAGAGGCGACGGAAAGAGATGGCTGATGGATTTTTCTTTTACTGCATGTGGTCTGGTATGTTATACTGCGTACTCCCTCCATTCAAACAAAAGAAAAAAGCCCAATCTAATTAGGGATAGGATATTACCTATGTCCAGATTGGACTAGGTAATGTCACATCTCTAATTAGGTTGGGTTTTTTTTTACGGAGAAAGTAGGCAATATGATTTATGTCGCTCAGACAATGACTCAGGTCACCAACGCTACAACCATGCCAAATACTCCCTACAACCGAAATATTATATATTCTAATATTATAAATATGAGTAAAAATATATTCAGATTTACAATATTAGAATATATCACAATTTATATTAGATTTGTTTTTATAATACGACGAGAGTACCACCTCTCTCAACTTCATGTTCACGAGCAATATGGTACTGCAGCCAGAGAAGACGATAAAGCATGTAGCACGTAATCAATGTCAATTGGCCCCGTGAAATCATTGTAGCTGGTACGTTGTTCGAGGCCACTGGGGCAACAGCTCGTGCGCGGAGTGGGAGTGTGGGATAGTAAGAGAAAATTGGAACCATGCCATTATAAACATGGAGCAAGTTGATGTTGATGTCGATATCGGAGTTGAGAACAAGGATAACAAGGTGATGGATGATGAAAATCCGAGAATCAACCGGGAGGAAAAACCGTAAAAAAAAAGATTTGGTAAACGTTCGTACGGACGTGTTGGAAAAAGAAAAGGAAGAGCAACTCAGCCACATACCGTACGTTCAAAAAAAAAAAAACCTCAGCCGCATGTATCATCCAACCAGTGAAACCGAAGCGTACATACATCTCTCCTTTCTCTGATTATAATGCAAAAATCACATTTGCCGCAAGCGGTGCTTTTGAGCATCAGAAAACCAGTACGTAGCAGAAACGCATCAGTGCAACTCGCCGATTCTACACCACCAAAGACATCCAAAACCCTCGGCGTAGAGGAGCCCGCGCATGCAATGATCGTCTGAACGTCTGATGGGCCTCCAAACGCTAACCGCGTGACAGACGGACCAAGGGCGACGGAAACACTGTGACGGAAACAATAATCAAATCGTAAACCGTAACGTTCAAGACTTCAAGTTGGCTGTGGTATGATCTTATAATAATCAAATCGTGAACCACGAGGCCACTCGTTGTAGGAGTGTCATTGCTATTTTTAGATAACTCTTATTATGCCAATTGTTTTAGACAATAGAAATAATTTACATCTCCGGTCTCTGCCAACAAGCATACGGTCAATGAGTTAAGAAAAGATAAATTAAAATACTTGAGGTTATGAAAAACAAAAAAGAGTGATTGATAATAAGACATTGGATATAGTGGTTCCACATGCGGACGTGCTGCACACGATGAAAAGAGGGGATGAAAGATTTGTACTCCATCCGTCCCTAAATATAAAAGATTTTAGTTGAATGTGATATATCCTATTACAACGAATTTGAACAGGCTCAATTCCTTAAATTTAGGGATGGAGGGAGTATATAGTAGTAGAGATAAGGAAGATGATTATATACCCTAAATACCCGGCATATATGCAAAGGATGCACATAGCCAACTCCAAGTTCAGCCATGCGCCTATGCCTAAGTATTCATCAGTAAACTCTAAAGCCTCACATCTGCAGGCCGAGGACCAAGGATGCTCTTCGCACGATCCATGGGAATTACAATCAGCATCTGAGCCCCTTCTATGTCCACTGATATCAGCAGGCCCGGGGACGACCAGAGATACCCTTCTGACCATTCCATGGGAATCATATCGATCAGCATCTGAGGCTCTGAGCCCTTTCCATCGTCCACTGATGCCTGCTGCCTCCGGAGGCATCCCTGCTATTTCGCTACAGTTAACACACATCACATAAAGTAAAAAATCGACAGTGCTAAATGCAGAACAGACCACTTCCTGAGCATTCTCAGGGTCAGGCAAATTGGGCGTCAGAATTGTTGGCATCGCATCTGGGTCAGGCTTCTGGAAAACAAAAGTTGAATACAAACCTGAAGAGAATATATCTGGCAACTCTGTCAAAAAGAAAATCCGGCAATGAGAAAATTGGGACCTGCAGAGCGAATCCTGAAGGAAATTCACTATATTCAATGAAATTGACACACCTCCGTCCGTGCTAGTTCATTAAAAAAAAGTCCTGAAGGGGAATGGGCACATCACCTAAATATCATATGAACGAGCAAAGTTCTCCACGAGGATCCACCAAACTGGCACCACACCTGTGAAGATTATGGGTACCCCATACCCACACGACATGGTTATCCGACTAGTTATAGGGGATAACTTATATCTATGGAATTTGTACAGATCATGACTTGAGTATTATGTTTCCTTGTATATTACGGAACGGTCTAAAGTCCTGATTTGATAATATTGTAAAGTAGATTTAGGAAACCGATACCGTTTTGGTTAAGATTTCTATCTTGTAATCCTGCCCCCCCCCCATCCTATATAAGGTGGGTAGGAGGTCCTCTAGGGTAGAGGATTCACGACTGGATCGTCAGATCAATACTACACCCGGCGGATTCAAATCCCCAAACAGGAGTAGGGTATTACCTCTCATCGAGAGTGCCTGAACCTGTCTAAATCATTGTCTCCGCATCCATCCACTCTTACGTCTCGTGCGCTACCCCCTTTATATTGCCGAAATCTTGTTTCGACAACACCAGAACTACCAAGCAACGGAGCAAATTGAGTTCTGGAGTCAGTCAGACAAAAACAAAAGGTAACTATCAGCTATAAATGAAGTAAAACTGTAAAATAAGCATTTGAATAAAAAAACTTAACAATGATTACCCTAAATAAACAGCAAAAATGATTTGAAGAAAACAATATATAACTTGGCATAAGATATTGGCACCTCTTGTCATAGTAAAACTCAGTTAAATTCTGGATTTCTACATGTTAATGCTGCCTCGCTTGCTAATCTGTTTCAACATAATATAACATTGTGATACTCTACCACAAGTTGCTGTACTTTAAGAGGCTTTATGTAAGGGAGTTTTATGACAACAAGGCTGTACAACAATTGTGGAAGACAAACAAGAAAGTGCTACCTCATAAGGCTGGGGAAGTGGACCAGGCAGATTCTCAAACATTGATTAATTTGCGAATTTGAGTTGGTACTTTTTTCCGTCGAAAGGAAACCTGCACCATTTTGCATAGGATCCCAGAAGATAAAAGGTCTGGAATTTCAGATATATTCAAATGCACCAGCTCAAATGATACTTTTCTTTTTCAATTTCAAAGGCAACAACATAGTTCTCCGAGCTAATGCTATTTGGAACAGTCGTCAGACCCTGACCCTTACCGTGTAAAGCCTTGAAATTATTTTAATATTTTGTCCTACATATCAGAAATATCATGCAAAACAGAAGAATATCATCATGCCATTACTCAAGCCTGTTGCACGCTGAATTTAATTTAGAGAAAGTATAGCAGAACCAAACTCAGTTACCACTCATGCTCAGCGAGCTAACAACAAGAATTGAGGAAGAAGGAACAGTTAGGGGGTTTCAAGTTTCAACCATGAAGCAACGGACAAGAATCAAATGCACAAGGGACAAGCTGGCCTTTATCAACTAACCTTAATAAAAGAGCCTCCAATCAAACCAACTCCAATTAATAAAACTAACTGAATCAAATCACTTGGCAAGCATTAGCTCTACAGGCTGAGTGGTTACTGTGTCACATCCGCCATGCGCTTGCCGCACGCGCACTACTCAGAAACCACTTATCTTCAAGCTGAATGTAGGGAATCAATTCTTCAACTCCTCAATTAGTTCTTAGGAGTTGTCAGCATCATGCAGTACAATCAACTATGAGAGGTTAGTCCAACACGGCAACATGGAATAAACCCATAAAGATATTAACCTCAATGCATTGCGCAACCTAATATTAGTCTACCGAGAGATGCACGATAACATCTGAAACACAATGTTTGATAATGAAGTTCATCAATATCCTTTTCTTCATCCAACTCTTGTTGAAGAAAAGAACGGGGCCTATGAGGTTATCATCTGGGCCATTTAGGATTATTTTTAATTCAAGTGTTGCAAGATCTCATGTCTTATCTAGCAACATCCAACAGTTAGGGTAAACTGAATTGAGGTGTGGGTGCTATTCTTCTTTGTAATAATTTTTATGTTAGCAATTATAAATGTATGTCACTGGCTAACCTTTTATAATCTATAATACAAGAGCCATTAAGAAAAAAAAATAACCAAGCAGTCACCTATGTTTTAGCGCTTATGAGGCATATGTGACTGCTTGTGCCACTTAAGCAGTCGAAGGTTGCACCAGTTCCTTGTATACAGCCACATAGACCTTGTGTTTACAACAGTGTACAGAAGAACATAATTCATGAGATGTCCGTATCATATTATAGATGAATCAGGAATCATATGCCCCAAACTTGTCTCTTAAGTTTGAGTAATGAAGATATATTGTTCAGAAGCTTCTGTGCATGTTCCTCAGTATCCTCACTCTCAATACATTACTGTCTTTCGACATAGATTAACAGTCAAGACTAGCAAAACTCACAAGTAAATCATATTACAGATACAGAGGACAACCAACTTGCCTGTAAACGCTGCGTACAGCAAACTATATCTGCCAGGATCCCCTTCTCTTGTAATTGAGCTTCAAAATTATCCTATTATACAAACCACTACAAATGTCAGCTATGAACTATTCATACAAGAATACTGCTGTGTTTAGGTGTGAACTCGCTCAGATGAACTCAGCAATGAGAGACTGAAAGGTTTCCTTTTGCTCTGCCACGTCTCACAAGCATCATTGACAATAGATGCAGGTGTAGAAAGTGGTGTGCTCATTAACATGACAGACTAGACAATCTAACCATCGAGCCCCCGTACTGGGCTTTCAATATAAGTCGGACCTCTGGCCTTTTTCTAAAAAAAAAAAAAATCTAACCATCGAGAGGATTAAGCTAGTGTGAATTATCCTACCAATCCCTATGTACCGACCAATTTGAACATCATCCCACTTGCCTGTATCAACTCAACCATCACAATAGAGATTGCAAACCTTTTTCGTGTTCCAATCAACAAAGAGAAGTATCGGATTTCTGCTTCTGAGTATCATGCTGATTTGGAACAAACTGACAATCAGGAACAAAGGAGCAGATAACAGACTGTGGCATAAGAAAATGCCAAAAAAAAACTAATGCTAACTTATGCTTCACAAAACAGTTGCAAAATCAAACAATGTTGGCTTAACTCAGATAATAGCATACACACTAATGCTAACTTATGCTTCCTTTACAAGGTATATCAAGTCACCAAACGGTTTAGGGTTTAACGGGCGAATACGCTGTGAATTAGGATTATGGCGCGCGATCTAATCTTCTCTAATGCCAATCCACCGTGCTCTCATTTAGAGTCACTAACAAAGCAGCAGAGTTCCTAGAGCTGGTGCAGTCCACCACGAGTCCACGATGCAAGGTACCTGATGATGCGGCGATGAGGGGGAGAACCAGCAGCGCTCCAGCCTCCAGGTGATGGAAGAACCCAGCTGCGTGCGGTGGAAGAGGGCGGCCTACAGGAGGCGGGCACCCGCCACCACCCGGAGTAAGCGCAAAGCCGGCCGTGAGTCGGGTAACACCGTCCGCGCGGCTGCCTGGGGGAGGGGGCTGCTCGGCGGCGGCGGATGGGGAACGGGCGCGCAGCAGCGGTTTGGACCTGGAAGTCTCGGGCCTGTTTGGCAAGACAAGGAAAGAGGAATGGCGGCCTGTTTGGTTGGAAGGAGTTGATGGGGAATGAGAGTTTATGATATCTGGGAGTTTAAATCTATAGTTTAGTTGAAAGACTTGGAAATTTAAGGGGGTTTGGGATGGGGAATTAAGAGGTCTGATTCCCACCAATCTCTTACCTGGGGGAGGCTTGTTAATTCGTAAGACTTTAAGGGAATTCGACGTGAAACCAAACAAAGGATGGAGACTAAAAATGTAACTCCTATGACCAATCCCACCATGAACTCCCTCCTTAAAACTCTCATTCCTCTTACCTTCTCTTGCCAAACAGGCCGTGGGAGTTTGAAGGACGGAGTTGATGGTGGGATTGGTCATAGAAGTTATATTTTTAGTCCCCATCCGTTGTTTGGTTTCACATCGAATTTCCTTCAAAGTCTCACGAATCAACAGGCATCCCTCATATGAGAGATTGGTGGAAATTGGATCTCTTAATTCTCTATCCCAAACCCTCTCGAATTTTAAAGTCTTCCAACCAAACTACAAACTTAAACTCTCGTAAACTCTCGTCCCCATCACCAACTCCCTCCAACCAAACAATCAAGAAAAGCCCTAGGCTGGTGTCATTAAAGATTTTAAAGTTGATCAAAATAATTAATTAGAACGGCCCCTATAGCTCAGTGGTAGAGCGTCAGTCTTGTAAAGTGAAGGTCTGCATGGGGGCATTTTATTACATTTTGTTTTTTTTCCAAATTAGTTAGTTCTCAGTTTACTCTCTCCATCCCATCCGAAAAAATACGTCCCATCTAACCAAAACAGGGCATATTCTTGTTTTTTTTCCAAATTAGTTAGCTCTCAATTTACTATTTCCATCCCATCCGAAAATATAAGGATGTGCCCCATCTAACTAAAACATGGCATATTCTCAGTTTCCCTGCTAGTCTCTCTATCCGAAAATATAAGGATGCGTCCCATCTAACCAAAATATTTTATTACTTTAGGGTGCTTTGTTTTTTTTCCAAACTAGTTCTCAGTTTACCTGTTACTCTCTCCATCCGAAAATGCAGGGATGCGTCCCATCTAACTAAAACTCATTATATTTATTGTTTTAGCTTTCTTTTGTTTTTATGGTCCAAACTAGTTTTCAGTTTACCTGTTACTCCCTCCGTTCAAAAATATAAGGATGTGTCCCATCTAATCAAAACTAGTGCTCGGTTGTTAACTTGCAATTATTATTTTAGCTATAATCTTGTTCTTTTTTTTTTGTTTGGTGTTCCAAACAAATTCTCAGTTTACCTATTAGTACTATATAAGATTACTCAGTTGTTAACTGCATATATATTTATTTTAGCATAATGGGATAAATATTCCAGGCACTTTGGGCGATCCTTCTTCCCAAAATGGGAGACTGCGGGCTTACATGCAGGTGAACAAGACCAACTGCAGATTACACAGAAAAAAAAAAAGGAATCGCACGTGAACAAGGTCATTTGCAGATTACACATAAAACCAGGATTTTGGGGTAAAAACGCAAAAAATAGGCAGACGAAATGCGGTGAGCGTGGATCGAACACGCGACCTTCAGATCTTCAGTCTGACGCTCTCCCAGCTGAGCTATCCCCGCTTTTACCATCCATTTTAACTAATTTGAACTGACACTCAATTTTCATGGTTCACCCTCCATCGACACGTACACTGGAGACTGGAGTAACAGTAACCCCATGAGTAGCATACTCTTGAATGCCAAATATTCTGCACTTTACAGTGACAGCAACAGTTCAAGAATTCTGCGAGCATTGCATAGTGAGTAAACCATATCGGTGTGCAGAAGAATGCATGTAAACATGGTCCTAACTCCTAAGGTAGGGCGCCTTTACAGCCCAAATGGCCTACAGCTTGACTCGAATTATGGCCAGAGGAACAGCCTGAACCTTTCTCAGGGGCAAAGTGGCAGCGGCCGTGACAGAGCAGGGCAGGGACGCTGCAGCTTTTGCCCCAGTGCAGAGATAAAAGCAATTCACTGAAATTTTGTGAAGATCTTGTTCATGGAGATAGTAACAGCATATGGATCATATCGAGGAGAGGATAAAAGCCCCCCGCGTCGTGATCATTGGTTTGCAGGAAAGTGCAGTCTGGGATGAAATAGTGCAACCATTGGACGTTTCATCATTGTTTGGCAGTTGGGTCAGCAGCTGTGCCTTTCTTCTCAAAACATCAAGAGAGCAAACTGCGCTTAAACGCTTTCCACTCTCCATGACTTGCAATGCAAATCACAATTTCACAACATCAGGCTAGTCACACAGGAATAACATACCACCACCGTGTTAGACCACTAATAGACCAGTTGCCATAGCAACAGTGACATGACAATATTGCTAAAAGGTTGTGTACTGATTACTGAACCAAACACCATCGTCATGTCACAGATGACAGAACCATGGCAACGGCACACACACACACTGCTAGAAAGGACAGACAATTAATCGCAATTTCACAAACCCAAGAATCCAAAAGACTTGGTATCTACAATTGCTGCCTCTGATGATCTATCTGATCACATTCTTGATTCTTCACCAGCTACTTACTAGTATTCTCCGGCCTAAAATCAAGCAAATTCACACAAAATTCACCCATGGAAACACCAGCGGAAATGGGAAATTAAGTACGGCAAGCCATACACACAAGACAAAGCAAGACTAGCTCCAAGTACAAATCAACCCCGCGCGCGCATGCAATCACGTCGCAAATTGAGCTGCATAGCTGCGGCGCGCGATCACCGGGACTCCTCCTGTGCTGGCCGTCTCGTGGCGGCGCCGGAGAGCGCGGAGAGTAGGTTGAGGTGGTGGACCTGCGCCACCGACGACGCGTACGCCTGCGCCTCCTGCGACGGCGAGACGAGGGCACCCCACGACGACACGGCGGGCCGCGGCTGTTGCTGCAGCGCCTCCCAGAACGTCGGCGCCTCGTGGTCCTCCTGGCGCGGGCGCTTGCCGAGGAGGAAGGAGGAGGAGGCGGTGGAGGGGGCGGACGAGCAGGAGAAGACGGCCGGGGTGGTGCCGGAGCCGGTGGCGGCGAGGATGGACGGCTCGGCCTGCCGGAGCAGCCACTCGATGGTCTGGCCGTCGGACTTGAGCCCCAGCTCGCGGGTGAGCTGGAACACGCGCGCCGCGCAGACGATCGGCATGCGCACGCGCCGGCCGCGCCCGTTCACCTTGCTGTGCCGGTCCTTGCCGCCCTGCGTCGCCGCCGCCTTTCGGGGAGCTGGGAGCACGGCGTCCACGAGCGCCGCCGTGAACGGCATTGTGATCTGCTGGGACGACGGTGGCAGCGCCGCCGGCGTTGGCATTGCCATGGGCCGGTAGACCTGGAAGGTGGCGGCGTCGCGGGAGGCCATGGCTTTCCGTGCGAATTGAACACTGAACAGGTAGCTAGGGTCTTGTTCTCTAGGCCCCTTCCCCCTTGGGGTTATATATTTATAAATGGACTTTGAATATTAAGTTGCATTTTAATTCTTCTAAGTGTGTAAAAAATGTTCTGCTGGTAGTTTGTATGGTTTCACTAGTTATATTTATGGCCCCATAATTGCTACACGACGATAGCATTTTTTCCCCCCGAAGGAATGTAATCCGATAAGCATATTCTGTAATCGACTGATGTCTCGAGTTTTGTAGTATTATTATTATTATTATTATTATTATTATTATTATTATTATTATTATTATTATTATTATTATTATTATTATTATTATTATTATTATTATGTCTCGAGTAGTAAAAAGAATGTAGACAGATAAAAAATGTATTTATGAAAATAATAGTAAGAATTGTATACTCAAATATAATTCTATTTTTGAAATCTAGTTCCACGCAAAATTAAAAATTATGCTAATTTTAATCATTACATCTAGTCTCTGCACATATCCAAATGAAAATTATTAATCAATCAGTCTAGATAGTAAAAAGGTCTGGCAACTATAAAAAAAAGGGGGGGGGGGTTAAATAGTTTGTTTGCCCGTATACTACACTTGGGAGCCTACGAGTTTCTTTACCTCTGGATTTACTTTGAAGAACAAAATACTGGAATTTTTTGTGCCTCTTTATTTATTCCAGCTTGACACACAATCTGAATGATGAATAACCCAGCCTTCCGGTCTTCCAGAGATTCTTGCAATTATTGGGAAGGAAATACTCCTAGATGCAGATGATTAACTTTAGATTTTTTTTTTCCTCTAGAGTATACCCAGGACAGCAGCAGCATTGCAGGGACAGGCATGCAGTTCTGTACTGTAGCAGTAGTGCAGCACTGTGAGCATAGGGGGGCAGGGCACATGGGGAGCTTTCACTTTGATGGAGCCCGTGGCCTGTAGGTTTTCACTTTGCTGGAGCTGTAGGCTCATGAGCAGTGCTTCCATCTTTCAGTCGTTCACCGCTACCCCCCTACAAGACTTGCAAGAGGGCTCTTCTGGATCGAGCGATTTCCATATGAATTGAAAATGGAGGATCTTTTCCTTTAGAGGTTACTTGGATTGTAGGATTTGAAGTTGAACATTTCCTCGGAATACATTCCTAAGCCTCAATTTCATAGGAATTTAAACATGAGGTCTAACCTCATGGGTTTTTTTTTCCTTTTAGAATTCTCATGCATTCTCTTTCTTTCTCTCTATACTCTTACTCAATATAAGTACGTAGTAATATATATTTTTCTTGTGAGCCATCCAAACACATGTTTTGAGTACTTCGTGTGTTTTTGTTTCTTGTGCGATTAAACATGTTATGGCACTTCAATCCTACGTTTATTTATTCATGTATTTTTAGATTCTTGCGTTTCAAATGAGCTTAAAAGAAGAGCTGTAACAAAATTATGGTATTAGTATTCAATGGGATAGATAGGTAATCCATGGGTACAAAAAACATAAAGTTCTTGGGACGATGAGGTTGAGAAGCAAGGATCAAGGAACGTAGTACGCTATTTGCTAGAGGCTTTTACAAGTTCCTGTTTTCCTAGGACGGGGATGATGTTCCCGCGTAGAGGAACGCTGTCTTTGACCTGTTTTCCTGTGACTGCATAATATTACTCCGTATGATTTTATGTTTTTAAACTTTTGATGCATATGAGTGCAGCACCTGTTGACTCTCGTAGTCTTTGTTGGTCTTCTTCTTCCTCTTTTCTTTTTTTCTATATAACAGTGCTTTACAAAATAGAAACGTCGTACTCCTCATTTGTGTATAAAAGTTTATTTATTTTAGAGCGGAGGAAGCAACATGTAGCATGACATAAGAATTAACTGTCCTTTTTTTTATCAACTTTTCCTAGCCATTTGAGTTGTGTTTTCTTTTAAAATGATGTATGCCCAGTGAAACAAAATAACTGCACCTGCATTTCCCCGCCTCCCATTTTCACCGTTTGCGTTGGTTCAGAGGTCAGTTGAGTTCAGGACTAGATAGGATAGGCTCTGATGTACTAATGCAACAACCATGAACAAGGATTGCATGGATGCCATGGATGCTACTCCAGTCTCCAGCTAAGCTTGTAGACGGCGACCAAGCTACAGGCACGTCATTTTCGCTCAAAAAGCCAGAACTGATACACAGCGCGATCGAGACTCGAGAGCGTTTGTTAAAGTCGTTTTCAAGCAAAAGGCCACGCTAAGCATGCAGCAAACGGTGAGATACCTGTCCCCCCCAGAGGTTAGCTTTGCGGATGCTGAATTGCTGATATGTGTAGCAGAGTGAACCTGTGATTGTGTACGTTGTACGTACTCTAGATGGGGTAGTATGTCAAGTAAGCAACTTGATCATTGTTGGGTCCCGGAAGAAGAAGAAGAAGAAGAGGGAGAGGAAAAAAAAAAGGATCACCGGGAGGATTGACGATTCGCCGTTCGCTTGATGCGACCTGTTTCAGACTTTCAGTAGCGCCCAGCCTGGACCACCTGGGGTGGCTCTGCGTCGTGTCCATGCAAACGCCCTTGTGTTGTGTAGGGTAAACGCCACATCCTAGCCAGGAATTGACAGTGGGTTTTATTCCAGTGACCTACCAGATGTACTACTAGGCCATGGTTGGATAGTTTGATTGCCTAATACGCATCTTTATTCGCTTTCTTTTAGATAATAATGTGACTAAAACATCCTAGTAGATCAGTAGATGCAGTTGTAGATCTTGAAAGTGGTGCAAAAATGGCCTGTCAATTTGGCTCGATAGAAACAATTACTGGATTATTTTCTTTTCCGGTGGAGGACAGAAGGAAAAACATGCACCTTTTGGGTTCAACACACCCCGCATAGTGTAGTACACATTTTTGAGTTTTCGTACAAGAACTCGCATATAGGAGGAAGATATAAATTGTGCTTCGTATGATTCTAATCAACCAGGTTACAGCATAACACTGTTGTCACCAGAAACCAAGTAGTTCTGATACTCTGTTGCTTGTATCTGTGGTCTGTACACAAAAAGAAAAGAAAAATCACAAAGCAAAAGATTCTGCTTTCTTCTATATTTACAGGTACAGCCGATACACATGCAAATTTGCATTTCACATGTTCCTGGCGTGATGGACATAATCCGGCCAAGAGTAATCTACAAGAGAAAAACACGGATTTAATGATTGCGCAGATTACTAAGATGCCCGTGCCTCTTCGTTTTCATCGAGCAATGGCCTGAGGTTTGATCTCTCGACGGCAGGGACATCATGCTCACTCTGTTCGTTGAAACGATCAACGCTACGGACAAATATGCCTGCAAGACAACATCTCAACTCAGTGCAAACAGAGAAATATTACATCCACACCACAACGCACTACTAGTCTTCTATCCGCATCGATGACAACCGACAGAAACCGCCTGAAATGTTTCTATGCTAAATTTCATTTTAGTAATATACCAGCAAAAATATCTGTACGTTATTACATAATTTAAAGAAACATATTGGCTTAATTTTAGAATTAATTAGCAGTTTTTGGTTTCAATATTGTGTGTTCCAAAGTCTATACGTGACTTCTACTGTTCTATATTATGTTTGGTTTGGAGTGGCATGCCAGAATTTTGGGTATGTTTGGTTTGGAGTGGTATGTCAGAATTTTGGGGAGTTGGTGGTGGGGTGATTATAAATTCACCACTCACCACCAGCACACCCTTTCAAAGGAATATAGATATTATTTTAGATAATGGATTAAAATCTGGCCTCTACATCCAAAATACAGCCAAACAACTAACAGAAGTACTTACACTCACACCCTTACAAACATGTTTGACACAACAAACAACTCACCACGAGCACTTAGGCTTCCCAAATTAGCTTGGTTCTGTCTTTTTTCTGTTTGGATGTGGTTAAAGGAGTATAGATATGGCATGTGATAGTGGCAGATTTACAATTGTTACAGGGAATAATAGACAACAGAAAAGAAATTGGGCCTGCGGGGTTGTAAACCTGTAACAAGACGTTATAATTGTTGTGCTAAGAGAACGTACCAATAAACCAAAATATAGCTGCAATGAAGAGGATAGATGTCAAGGTAAGAGCTGTCGATCTCCAGTTATGGATTTTGTCCTGCATTCAACAAGTTCAAGCAGTAAAACCATGAGCTTTGAACACGATGAATACCCAAATTAACTGTCATCTAGGAGGTATTGGATGCAATTCAGTGTCATAACGCATCGCACATAGCAAGAATCTATGTACTACAAAGATTTGTGCAACATAATATGTGCACTACAAGGGCCAGTCTCATCTAAAATGAACAAATGGATTTATTCATGGGAAATTCGGCAATTAGACAATTATTCAATATTCAAAATTACAAATTTAGTGTGAACAAACACAAACAACATTACCTGAAGAAGCCCAACAAGAGGTGAAGAAGGCACATCACCAAATATATGGATTGCAACAGTTGACATAGCCATTGATAATGGCCGCAAACTTGGTTTTACACAATGAAGGCATACATAGTTTACTGGGGCCTACAAGTTACAACAATCAAAAGAAATTAATTAGATATGCATATCAGGATGAGAAAAATCAATATATACTCCCTCCGTTCCCATTGACCAGCACTGTTTAAACTTTGACTGCTAATAATTTTGAAATGGTTACCCTAGGATAAACAAAAGTTGGTGCTTATATTAGGGATGTAACACTTCAACAATATGGCATCATTTCAAGTCTTTATGATATTTTTAAATAAGACGAGCAGTCAAAATTTAAATATGAAATGTCTGGTGCCATATATAAAGGAACGGATGGAGTACTTAATAAAGTGCTGAAAAACTTTTCTTTGGCATCTAACCATACAGAAACCAGAGTTGCTGTCATGCAGAGACCTTTCAATACAAAACAAGTTAATAAAATCCGAAATTTGATGAAATAGTGAAGTGAAAGAAGTAACCAACCTGAGTTGCAAAGACCAAAAGCTCTCCTACTGAAAAGAAGGGTATGAATCCATAAAGGCTCTTGAAACAAAAGGCACCAAAACAAAATATTGCTCCAAGAAAAGTTGCACCAGAAAGAAGCTGCAAGAAAACAATTTTGTGAACTGAAGCAAGCAAATAAGTTGCACAAGAAACAACTTCCTTTGACTTCATTACTCCGCACTTATATATATACTTTGCATATATTGCATCATAGAATGCTTGCAGTCAAAATGTATAAACTTTGTCAAAAGGTCTACGAACATATGGATGCAAAAAAATAGTTATTAAAAATGGTTTCAGAAAATTGCATTTCTACAACTTCATTAAAATATATGGAAACAAAATTTGGTGTTCAAAGTAGAATCTAGATGGCCTCTAAAATTAAAGAAAAATACATTTTTTGCATCGTATGGAGGCAATGGTAACTACTACCTCCGTTTCAGGTTATAAGACTTTCTAGCATTGCCCACATTCATATAGATGTTAATGAATCTAGGCATATATGTATGCCTAGATTCATTAACATATATATGAATATGGGCAATGCTAGAAAGTCTTATAATATGAAACGGAGGAAGTACATGTTATCTTACAAAATCTTTAATTGGCAAACATATTTTTAATCAAACAAAATCTGGTTCTTTTTCAACATAATATGTCCAAAACTAAGTGCAGATAATTAATTACTTTGAAAAGTCACCTCTTACCTTGAAAGCATTAGATATTGTTGAGTCTATCTTGTCAAGAATGAAACCCCCTGAAAGAGTCCCAAATATTCCACAGACAATTGTTATTCCACCAAACATTATATCTGCACTCGCCTGGTGTGACAAAGTTCAACAAGAAAGGTTAACCAATGAAACAAGAATGTATTAAAGATATTCCAAATATCTGCAGTTAGATGTATGCTACACTACACTAGAGCTTCATATAAACACCAAACAGAATGATTTTTCATGCAAGAAAATCCGTGCAAAGCTACAAAACCAAATCCACTGAAAAGAGGTAAGCGCATAAAAAAAATGGTTAAATAGCCATATGTAAAAGGCATATGTCCCTGCGCATCAGTAAGCGAATAGGAGGTACCATATTGTAGATATCCTGACCAGCCTTAGGGCCCCAGTAGGAATAGGCACCAATGACAAAGTTGTAAGAGATGTAACCTGTGGAACAGCACAGGGAAATGAACTCCAGTCCCAAATAGTAGAATCTACCAGATATAATAATTTAAATATGACTCTTTTTAGCAGTATGAACTCAAACATCAAGTTTTGATCAGGAAATATCTATAACTAAGCTTCATTTTGAAGTGATATACCATCTGAAAACCATATTGTCCTCAAATTGTGAAAATTGCTTCTTGCAAGATTATGTTGCAAAATGAGGATATTAGTACCAATTTATAGTGATTTTGGTGTGAATCTGCCTCAAGATCAATACGACAAGTTTGTTTACCCTACTACTATTCCCTTTTTTTTAGAGAGAGAGCACATTTGAACATACACATGTCACACTAACACCATTACCCTACTGATCCAGGGTAACGATGCTATACTAAATCTTATGAAAAAAAATATTTAATGGATTGACTTAACTGAAGTGAGCAAAGAAAGCAGTTGTTTCAACTATATTTACAGAACACATATACAGGGGGGACTACAACAGATCAGCTTAATCAGAATTAAGTTCAGAAATTGCATAATGTATGAAAGATCTGACCTAAGACATTGATCACATAGACTTTCTCTTGGAGCAGTTCTTTCATATCTTTCATAAAGTGTTTGATTTCGGTTAGAACTTTCTTCCCAAAACTTGAGCTGCATGATTGAAGTGAGGAATGTTCAGAATATTATTTTCTATTAAAAGTGCATGAGCTGATAGCATTTGCAATTAACATTAAAGAACGAACACAGCATGTCACTATGTCAAACAAGTGAACACATTCCACAATTTGATTATGTTCACATGATCAACAATCAAAACTCATTTTATCAAATATCTGAAGTAATATGGTCATTAAATAAGTGAATCAACATCTGAAGTAAAACAAATATTTTAGGGAGGAGGTGCTTACATGGAGAACTTGTGTGGTAGCGTTTCTGCAAGACCATCAACTCCAATAGACGCACCCTGCTTTGTCTCATCTTGCCGCTCTGGATTGAGCATCTCACCATACTCTTTTGTCTTCACACTGTGATTAAATCCTGTTGCACAAAACGCCCGCCAAAAAGAATAAAAAGAAGGGAATAAAATCATGATAGAACCAAAGATACCGTAACAATTAATGGAGTGCTATATAAACAGTAGTGCTTTATACTCTCGTGACACAAAATAAACCACACCTTTGAGCTCTAATGGCTTTATTACAAAGCCCAGAATAACAAAAGGAAGCATCAAAATCGACTCTCCCCAGAAAGCAGCACGCCAGTGCAGACTATTTCCAACCTGATGTGATTTTGAATAGAAGAGGGCATGAGGTAAGTTAATATCGAAAATGCAATTGTTACTCAAAACTGCTTAACTTGACAACTAAAAAAATAGAAGAAAGATCATGTGTAGCATAAGACTTACCAAACCACCATAAACATAGCCAACCGCTATTCCAGTGGGTATACACATGTAGAACATAGCAAGCCATGCTGTTTTCTGGTAACATAGGAGTAGCAAGTAAGTTCCTGGTTGACACTAGAGACTAGACATGAAAACAAGTACAATTAAAAACAGAACCTCCAAGTAATATGCATAGCTAGCTGGATGTATTCAAGAGCAATTTAATGCTGATTCAACATCTATTAGCAACCAGTAAAGAGTTCTCAGAACTGCTAGCCAGACAAATGCTATATTACAGTGCTCCGTTGTAGCTCACAGTCTGATGATACCTATGTGCCGTACAGGTCATTTTAACAAAGGATATCTGGAAGGGACCCTTCGAAATTAAGCCTAGATTACACAGGTGTGATAATTGGTTCATCTGGTATAAATATACAATGATCTGGAGTAAAATCATGTGTATCCTTGACTACATAGTAAACATATATATCTTAACTGATAGATATTGTACTTGTATGCCTGAAGATGTAGATTGTTTCCCAGAAGAATATAAGCGTATATTGAGCACAGAAACAATACTGTGTAAAAATAAGATTTGTTTGAACATAATATATCAGCTCAGTGCAGAGAAAGATTGTAAAGGCATTCTAAGAATGACAGAACCTGTGCTGCTGGAGCATTATCATCAATGAATGGAGCTGCAAGACTTATAAATGATGCTTCACCAACACCAACTAACCTAAGTAACAATAATTGGAGAATTGTTCGTGTCATTATCAGAGTAAGATTTATTTTAAGTAACAGATCTGAAACATGAATTGATTATTCACAATGACAAGGTACTTACATGCGGCATATAGTAATTGACCAGAAATCAAATGAGCACCCACAACCAGCTGTTGCAATAGTCCAGACTAATAATCCAACACCAATAAGCCTGAAAGGATTGTGTCTGAAAGAAGGGGAACAAACTATCATGCGTCAGAACATTACACTATAAAAGGTTTGATGTTTCAGAAACCTATGTTAGCCTCCAGCAGAACGTGAAGTATGAATGTTTCTATATTCCTTAATCTGACAATCTGTAGCATTAGCATATATTGTTCTTTGAAAAGCAGTTGCCCATCTTTAATATTTTCTTCTTGTGGATTGAGCACCAATAACAGGATAATGTACCACATATCGAAAATTGGAATTAATAGGAAACTAACATTTTTGCCAATGATGCAAATATGGGCGAAGCAATCAACAACCCAACCATAAATGCTGATGATAGCACACCATCTTCAAAATTGTTCAGATTGAAATCACCCCTGTATCAGCATGGTAAGGGCATTCAGGAGTAAACTCAAAAATTGATAAATCAGTGATGACTTATAATGAATTTATTGCAAAAAAGAAATTCAGTGTGAATATATATAACAACATAAAAAGGTTAAAAAGAATGAGAGTGTTTGTCCTGATCTGTTCTCTCATTCCATGAGATACAATGAGTCTGACATACAGCAATCTAAAAAAAAAACTGTATGGAATTTCCACTGGGACTTACTGAATTCCAGAACCTGATGTGCATGTGCCACCAGTACAACTTTGGCGGCTACCATTCACACCATTACTTGCTATTGCACCCCGGTCAACATAGTTTAGCATGTTGATGAGGCAGAACATCACAAGTAATCTGCAGCAATATAAACTAATCAACCCAAAGAAGGGATAAATAGATAGAGTTCTCAATTACAATAAAGAAAACATAACTATCAAATACACAAACACCAGATGTCCACTGACTACACAAACAGCTGTTCTGAAGACAATACCACATAACATGAAAATATTGGCTAAATTCAAATAGAAAGTAAAATTCAGAGGCATAACGAGCACAGGATGTACTGAGCAATCTGCATTGAAACCACAATCTTCATCTGAACTCGATACCTACACGAGGTTCGACTTCAGAGTTCGGAATTATTGCAGTGAAACACTATCATTCCTACTCCATCTTGTCCAAACGCAGATGAGAGAGATCTAGAGCTAAAATCCAGAGGGATAATAAGCACAGGAAAGCAGAAGATGTACAAACAGGATCAGCTGGGGCCATGTAGCAGATTTCATGAACTCTCAAGCTTATCTCTCCAACATTGAAGTGCACAGCTCAGTCGGCACCAAAATACAACACGCGAGGCCAGACCAATCTCCTTTCCAATTCCAATGCCATGAAAATTAACTTAGCTTATCCCACAAAAATGCCGTCTGAAAACCAAAAAAATGCACCTCGAATTGCATCAAGCCAACACCAAACTTGTACCTAACGCAGATCCATTTTACACAAAAGAAAACTAACGAGGAGAAACATACAAATTCTAAAACTCCAGGTCACGAATGGAACAGCCAATACGCATCAGAGATGATTTGCTATCAAGCAACTAAATGGCAACCTCCGCTGGCCTGCTCCTATTTACATTCACACTACAAATTGGCATCGCCAAAAGCTCCAATTCATATAGACGCATATCAGCTACTCGATATCCCGCAATCATCTGCACCAGTGCGGCAGGTTTGAGCAATCGAGCTCACGATAACTCGAACTCCCCAAGCAAAACAATCAAATCGCCCAAATTCGGATCAAACAGTCCACGAGGTGCGCAAACCCCGTGCAACCAAGCAATTCAAACCCACCTCCACCCGCAAAATCAATGATCCCGAGCCCAATCGCGCTAAGCACCTTACCTCTTAGGGGTGAACCACGAGGGCTTCTCGTCCGCGGCCCCGCTGGTGCTGGCGTCCAGGCCGCCCGCCTCGACGTCCCGCGCCACGGTGACCGCCATGGCCTGCAACCCCGTCGCCGCCGCCGCTGCCTCCTGCTTGCACTCAGCAGCCGCCGCCGCCGCCGCCGCCGCCAACAAGGACTCCCGCTTAGCCGCCTCCTCGCCGGGGGTCACCGCCGGGGCTGCTCCAGCTGCAGCCGCGGGCGGAGGAGCGGCGGAGTCGTCGCCGACGGGGGCTCCCACAACCACCACAGCAACTCGCGCGCCGTCGGAGCCTTGGGCCACTTCTTCCGATCCGCCCATATAATAAAAACTATGCGCCAATTTGACTTCTTCTCGGTTTAAACCACCACGCTGAACCAGAACCAGAACCAGCGCCGCACCAGGATCCAAAATATCTCATGGGCTATTACTACTACTACTACAACAGAACAACACAATTCCCTCCCGCAACAACGGAGAAAACCAACGGGGGAACGGATAAAATCGCGGGGGAATGAATATTCGGTGGAGCAGCAACGGTGGTTAGCAATCAAAGCGGCGACGCACGCGCGCAAGCAAGCAAGCACGCACGCGGCCTTCCTCCTCCTCTCCTCTTCCTTCCCTTCCCGCCCGCCGTTGGTTTGGCCGGTAGGTAGGGCAAGCCAAGCCAAGCCAAGGCGAAGGCGAGCGCGACGCGAGAGAGAGGAAGTCTAGGGGAGCACGAATGCTGCTGCTGCTGCAGCTGCTGGGTGGTGGGAGATTCGGGCGGCTGGCCGGACTAGCTACCACGGCAAGGCTCCGGCCGCTGTGTGGTGGACTGGTGGTGGACGAAAGGGACAGGCGGTAGTGGAGGCGTGGGGGTGGGGCGCGCGGACCATGGGTGGACCATGTCCATGGACTGGTTTTTTATCTGGACTTTGGTAGTATATCTCTCCCTAAATCCATTTGCTTTTGTACCTGTACCGGTCGCTTTGACGCTGCTTTGGAAACGCTTTGATTCTTGTGCCGGGTACAGCTCCCGTCTGTCAAATCAATGCATGTGTTTGCTTTGTTACGGTGTTAAAGTAAAAAAAAGGTTTAAATCAGGTTTGTTTGAATCGTTTGATGATTTTTCTCTAATTGCCGCTGGTTATAAACTCGGTTTATGCTTTGGTGGGACCGGCCGGCAAAGGTATCTGTCGTGGTGGGGCACGCATGGGACAGCCTCTCCTCTCCTCTCTCTCTCTCTCTCTCTCTCTCTCTCTCTCTCTCTCTCTCTCTATGCTGATCTTTTTCTATTGCTGATTGCTCCCTCCCCGCCGGGTATTATTTACGTGTGAGCTTGGACCAACGACAGACGAAGATTTGCTGTTCGGGGAGGGCACAGTATATAGTTAGCCCCATCCTTACTCATCACCGGGATCTTCTGCGCCACGCCTAAGTTCGAAGGAGCTTAGCGAACCGCTAACCCAGCTGAGCTCTCTCACAGTCTCACCGAGTCACGCCTACCTAAGCAAACCTGCTCCTATCTTGGAGTATACTTAACCATGTTGCTTTTGATTCGTTAACCTAACCGAATTCGAGGTTGACAAAATGCTTGATGTGATGCGGCTTTTGGTTTGTTGACCTAACCGAATTCGTGGTTGACAAAATGCCCTGATGTGATGGTGGCCTGATGGTTCGGAAAACCGATCTAGTACTACGGCACAGTAGGTTGGAGTATCCATCAATCCAATACAAGTACTCCAGTACGTCTACGCAGGCTGCGGGCACCAGTATGTACTTATGTACGTTTTCGCACCGGTGCGGTGTTTGCAGGTTTTGTTTTGACAGTACTTTTTAACTTTCTCCCGCCAGTAATCTTCTCTCTGACACGCCTCTTCTGCATATACTCCCTCCCTCTCACAATATAAGGGATTTTAAGATTTTGTTTGCAACGTTTGATCACTCGTCTTATTCAATTTTTTTTGCTAATATAAAAAACAAAAAGTTGTGCTTAAAGTACTGTAGATAATAAAGTAAGTCACAAATAAAATAAATAATAATTTTAAAATTTTTTGAATAAGACGAAAGGTCAAACGTTATAAGCAAAAACTCAAAATCACTTATATTATGAGACGGAGAGAGTAGTATTTCGTCGTTCACTTTGTTCTTGTGTTGCGACTAGTTGGAGCTTGGCCGTGGCATCACTCACTGTTGGTACAATTTGCAAACATTATTGTACGGGGGAGACAGTGCTAGCTGGAACATTTATCGAATCAATGGTGTGGGGACTGCGAAGTCATGAGGTGATGAGAACACACAGAGTATACTCCAGCTAGTATATACACGATCGAGCTTATCTCTCGAAGATGCTACTACTAATTGTATAACAGAAGATAGGACAGCACAAAATACAAAATGTACGTCGGATGGATGATTAAGGAAGAAAATTGAGTACACTTCTAAAGGAGCTTCAGCAACCAGTAGTGTTCCGATGAGAAAAAAAAAGGTGTGACAGAATTCAGAGGCCTGATGATAGAAGACGATAAACAAGCGGGCCTGGGCCAGTGTGGAAGGGGATTTGCAATTTGGCGTTGCCTCCCCGGTAGCCACCGCCGCCGCGCAGCAGGACCAGTTGGTGTTAATTTAAGGTCGCGAATGTACGTGGGCACTGCCGCACTGGGCAGGCACGCATAACGTGAAGATAGGCAACAAGTGGAGTAGCTACCGTCTCCAGGCAAAGAATCGCATTGCGTGCCGTGGGGTTGGCGGTGGCACGCAACGCAAGTTGTTACTGTTCCTATGATCCTATCTATACAACCAATGTACCACAATACAAGAAGGATTGCTATTGCTACTAACTTGTAGTATACAGCTTGAGCGAGTTTGTTTGGAGTCGTTAGTTCGTTACTCGACTTCTCTCCTTTCCTCTAGCCAAGAAAATAGATGGCGGTTGCTTATTCCTCTTTTGCAGCAGATGGCGAGAATCATCTATATGTGGGAGAAACAGCGGCAATGATCGAAACAGGCGGCGCACTCCGCAATAGAAAGCATGACATAATTCTACTTTAGTGCTACTACATTCAACGTGCCGTCTGCCTCATCCATCTAGATATCGTGATGACGATGTACATGTTGATGCCGTCTTCATTGTTTTTTCGAATGAATATCACATCTGGCCAACTTCTCTTAAAAAAAGAACTGGCCAACTTATTCACACGTTCGTATAGAAAATGGAATGGGAGGAGTGCCCCACCAACGCTGAAGTCAGACGTGGCCCGACCCAAACGAAGGTGCAGTGGGCTTCTTTGCCTTTGCTTCGTAAGGTAATGGGCTCCCGTGACATGGGCCCGTTTGGGTCTTTACTAGGCCACATCCCCATCTCGTGAGATGGGCACTCGTCGTGAGTCACTGAGTCGTGAACTCGTGACATCGGCAATTCGGCACGATCTCGCGCGTCTCGAAGCTTGTCGTAGTCTTCGCCATCTTTTTTTTTAAACCGACGTAGTCTTCGCTATCCCTTCTGTTCCAGCGATCCGATCCCCTCGCCGCAAAACTACAGGCGGAGTGCGCCCTCATCCTCGCCGCCGACTCGCAGCATGCCGCGGCCGGCCTCCTCCGCGCCGCCGCAGTCGTACACCAGGTACCGGTACGAGACGCGCCGCCGGGACCCCAACCCGCGCGCGGCGGCGCTCCTCGTCGTCGACGTGCAGGGCCACTTCGCGTCGATCGCGGCTCCGGCCATGCCGGCCCTCGCTGCCACCGTCGCGCTCTGCCGCGCCGCGGGCGCCCCGGTCGTCTACACCCGCCACGTCGACCCCGTGCCCCGCAGCGGCCCGCTCGACGAGTGGTGGCCCGGCGACCGGATCGCCGACGGCACGCCGGCCGCCGAGCTCCTCCCGGGCTCGGGCCGCCGCGAGGGCGACCTCGTGGTGGAGAAGAGCACGTACAGCGGCTTCGCCGGCACGGGGCTCGAGGAGGCGCTGCGGCGGATGGGCGTGGAGGAGGTGATCGTGACGGGCGTGATGACCAACCTGTGCTGCGAGACCACGGCGCGGGACGCGTTCGTGAGGGGGTTCCGGGTGTTCTTCTCGGCCGACGCCACCGCCACGGCGAGCCAGGACCTGCAGGAGGCGACGCTAGCCAACATGGCCTACGGATTCGCCTACGTCGTCGACTGCCAGCGGCTCGAGGCGGCATTTGGGAAGGTCAAGTGAGGAGCAAACGTGCTCTGCTGCTGCCCGTTGTGTTCTTCAGTTGTGCATAGTTCAGTACTCCATATGTCAAACATGTGCGTATGTGAATATTTTGTTTGAAACTATGCTATGGAGTTGTAGATAGTTATGTGCACATGTGAATGTTGTGTTTCAAGAGACCTATGGTTGACTATGCAGTAGTGCAGCTGTGATTAGTGATCAGATGCTATGTTGTTTGTACCATGGTCATATGAACATCGAAGTATAAATTGAAAAATGTTTGCTTTGAATAGAATATATTGATGGCCGCTATTTTAAGCTGCGGGTTGAAGCAGGGATCGCCAAATACATGACTGTCGCATTTGATGGTTTGTTGTCAAGGCTTCCTTGTGGGCATTCTGACTGAAGGTATCTTCAGAACTAGTCAGTTGTTGCATAGAGAAATTGCAACCTAATTTAAGCCAAATTTGGGCATGGTATTCACCGGAAGTCTGGAAGAGCCAAGCAAGCACACGAATTAGGGTGCATAGTTGAATCTCTACCACTGAAATGAGCATGGAGATTCATGCGTGGTAAACTGGTCGGTTCCACCTTCGGTTTCAATCGTCCAACGTTTATCGTTGTGGCGTTGTCAGCTTGTCATCACCGAATACCCCTTGTCAAATACCACCATCCATCACAGATAAGTCAGTCTCATACCTAGGCTCCTTAAGGAACGTAGGATCGTAGAGACACATGAACATTAAAAAAAAACAGGATAGAATATTATGTGTGGATAAATCTTGCATCGATTTAAAACACAAGGATTTAAACATATTGTATTTTTTTCTCCTCTTGAGGAAATACGTAGGAATTATAGAGGATTTATATCTTATAGGAAATAATTCTTTTGAGGCGTTTGTAACAAAGGATCGATCCCTCCTGATATCTTTAAAATTCTTATGGAATGGGCTATTATATTAGGAGAAATTTTTAAATAAATAAAGCATGAGGCCTCACCATCGGGGTCGCATTCGCGTCACCGTCCCCACGGTGATAAAATTTCACCGTCACTGCCCCCGTCAACCACGACGGGGCTATATTTTCTCCAGGATCCTCATGGTTACCCTGTCCCCGATGCACTTCAACAGTATATCACATCAATATTTTTCCAAAATAATCCACTCAACAAACTGTTAGGCATGGATCATAAATCAGCACACAACAGTAAATGTACATCATATCTATGGAAGACGAATATCTTGACGGAGAAGAAATGAGGTAGGCGTCTATCGAGTACAGAGAAGGGATTAGGGGAATTCACTGTGGGGAAATGGTGAACAGTGCCCCATTGCCATCTCTAGTCATGAATTCATGTGCTTTTTCTATGCACCATCTAAATGACAATTTTGACATTTTCCAACTCCGTAGGAATTCAACGAGCATGGCATTTTGTTCTTTCGTTTTTTTCTATTGCCGTGTTTCACAATTCTATGTTTCAAAGGAATACTCGATGGATTTGTGAGCAAAGAGAGATAAAGAGAGAGCAAAGAGAGATAAAGAGAGAGATACATTGAACCTCTCAGAGGGAAAATAATTTGAGATATTAGCTCAATGTAAAAATTTTATGGAAGTAGGACATACACTAGGATAGTAATCCATTGTTATTTGGCATGCTCAAATCCTGTTCCAACATATATGGAAAAAGGCTTAGGTTTAGAATCCTCTAAAATTTCTTCAAATTTTCTTTAATCTTACAAAGAAAAGTTACGGGATTTGATAAGTCCATACTCTAGTGATCTTAGTGGTGGAGGCCCAGGTAGCGGTGGCGCTGTCTCATTGCGACAATACTTCCTTCGTCTCAAAATGTAGCTATTTCTAGCATAGCGTTTTGTCTCAAAATGAAGCTATTTCTCCACCTACCTCATCCTTTCAACCAATCACAAACTTTCTCTAATCATTCTCACATACTTTCTTAATATCTGTGCCAACCTCAAAAATAGCTACATTTTGGGACGGAGGAAGTACCAACTTAGGCCGTGTTTAGTTCCAAAATAATTTTTCAAACTTTCAACTTTTCCATCACATCAAAACTTTCCTACACACACAAACTTTCAACTTTTCCGTCACATCATTCCAATTTCAACGAATCTTTCAATTTTAGTGCGAACTAAACACAGTCTTACTCACCTACTGTCATATCTGCGGCGGGGGCTGTTGGGTGTCGTCAATCCTGGTGGCAGTGGCATTGTCCAGTTGCTACTTCACCGGCAACTAACTCTTCTATCACAGGGTCTGGTGCTGCCATGGTTGACGTACGGAGTCGGCTAGAAGCTTCTCCTCCTAATTGGCGGGTCTTGGGGGCGGTGGTAATTAGTCATGTTGGGATGGATATCTTGTATGTGTGAAGCAACTAGGATCATGGTGGATGGGTGTTTCAATTGCTATGATCTAGCAATCTCAATTTGCACGCCACCTTTTACTCAATCCTCCTTCGTCGAATCAGCAAGACAACAGTTTTTTCGCTGCCATTTGAACTCTCCTATGTTGAAGGTTGCTTGGATTTCGGAATCGTCTTCCCTTGTAGCGGTAACCATGTCGGGTTAACCATTTGGGTTGAGCATAGACTGCCTATGCAATCTCAGTTGACAGGACTGAAGTTAGAGTTTCTCATATTAAATAGTGAACTTGGTGAAAACCCTTTGCTGAATCTGATGAAGCTCACACAAAAAATTATGGCTCAATAAAAAACCTCAGTTTTTGTGTTATTTCCTTGGAGACACCCAAAAGGTATTACTAGCATGTAAAGCGAAGTGCTGAAGTGCACATCAAATGAGACTAAAGGTACAATTGTCACAACAATATCATAGCTCGTGCCGATTTGTTTCTCTACTACTGTTTTGTTTCATTAGTAAGAATGTATTTTTTTTTTCATAAGGATAGTTCTTTGCTCTCTATTCATATCATCTAGCGATGTTTATGGGTTTTCTAAAGAAAAAGGTCCGTACTCCAGTGCATCAGCATATCAATTGACTAAGGGTGTGTTCGGATGCCCCTTTTCCTAACTCATCCCCCTTATTTTCCGCGTGCACGTTTTTCAAACTACTAAACAGTGTGTTTTTTTAAAAAAATTTCTATATTAAAGTTGCTTAAAAAATCAAATTAATCTTTAAAAAATAACAAATACTTAATTAATAACGTATTTTTCGTGCTAGAGAGGGAGTGCTCCCAAGCAGGAGGAGCGAACACAGCTTAAAACTTTGACTGATTATATGGGAAAAATATTGCGTGAACAAATGAAATGGGCATGATGACATGAACCAGAACAATGGTCAAAAAGCTTTGCCCAAAAAAACACAGGGGCTAGCTAAACACTAATCATCACCACCTAAATAAATTTAAACATCAGCGAAATTACGTAAGAAAGGACAAGTGCGGTCCAAGGTTTGGATTCCAAACACACCGGCTTGAACAGAACTACAGAAGCCATTGATGGACCTTTGCCCGTACGCAGCAGACAGTGAACAAGCCCACTGCCCTCTGCCCACGACGCCCAAACCAGTTACTCCCATTAAACCATCCCACCAAAAACTCCGTTCTTTTAACCTCCCCCACTATTCCACTAACCCAGATATCGCTGCCTCCCCTAACCTTCCAGTTACTTTTACTGCTAACTGCTAACCCTTTCTTCTTCTACACATCTACTGCTCTTTGCCCTCCTCTCCGTTTCTGCCCTGTTTTTAAAACCACCAACCCTTCCCTCTCTTCTCTTCTTCGAGAGCCCAAGAGCCGAAGCCGAAAAACCCAGAGGTCAGAGCAGTAGAGCACCGACACGGTTAGCGAGCATGTCCATGGCATTACTCTCGCTGTCGCTGGCCGTGGCGTTCCTGGCCGCAGCGTCGGCTGCAGGCGCCACCGGCGCGTCCCGGAGCATGAGGCGGCCGGAGGAAGACCTCGTGGCGGGGTTGCCCGGGCAGCCGGATGTCCGGTTCAGGCACTACGCCGGCTACGTCGGCGTCGGCAACGGCAAGGCGCTCTTCTACTGGTTCTTCGAGGCCGAGAAGGAGCCGGAGAAGAAACCGCTCTTGCTGTGGCTCAACGGAGGTACGAGTACGGCGCGTGATCTCTCTGAGACGTGTGCTCTTTTTCATTGATTTTCTTGTTCTGTGGATGAGTGGATCCCGTGAATGCTGTCCATCCGCCATTGTTTCGTTTGCTCTCGGTTCTTTAAAGTTGCAGAGGAACAGAGGATTGCCAAACTGTTTTTACTCTCCATCGTGTGAATTAAAGTAGACGGCAAGCGCGTTTGCTTCTTGTTCTTGTTTTGGGATTTGCAACATTTCTTGCCTTCGATCTTGTGCTTCCAGTTATCTACTACTATACGTGTTTATAGTAATGAACACAAGGCTAATCTCTCCTCATCTCTCTTTACCTAGAACCTACCTATCTACTATCTATATCTATCCATCTATGGGCTTCAAATGTGGCGATTAGCAAGTCACAATCCGGAAAAGCACAAGCCTGCAGGCCGTGTGGCCACCCTGTCGCAACGGAAGAATTATGCTTTCTGGCAATAAAAGCTCCAAAGCAAGGCAGGCAGGATCCACAGGCGAGGAGGGCATTGATCAGAGCAGTGGGGAGCAAAGCCTCCCAGCCGGTGCAGAAAAAAGACACTGTCAAAAGAGGGCAAAAGGATAAAAGAAGGCTCAAGGCAGCAGTGGTACAAACGAGCAGATCCTGGCATCCTGCAGCAGCTTGGGAAGAAGCTTTGCTTGCCGACGACACGGACAAGGCTAGAGGGAGGGACACAGCGAGTGCCATGTACTCGTAGTTTTCTCCTGGATTCTCTTCTCTCTTTTTTTCCCATGTAGGAGTACTAGCTACCACTGTTAGATCATGCAAGACTTTCACATTGCGTTTTTATCTTTCTCTTGTCCTTTAGCGTTCCTTCGCATGGCTCTAGAGAAGGCTAATGGGGCACCACCAAAGGACATCACATTGAAAGAATAATTAAAAACAGAGATAAGCGTGTAGAAACGGCGCCATTACATCCTTACAAATGTTCTTAAGTCTAATACGAAGGAGTATGTCGTATGATAGTATATAGTATATTGGCTATTGAATGGCTCCGTGGGCATGTAGTGTTACTGTACTGTCATGTGTTAGTGTCGTCATGTGCTTTAGTGTCAGAATAAGAAATCCTAGTGATAACCCATTTTCTTTTATAGGAGGATACTAGGAACGTGAACATGGAGATTTTGCACAGTATAAAAAATTAGGGCCAGAAAGCAGTGAAAAAACAGTACTCCGTATAGTAGTCACCTTAATTACATGGATATTCGAGCCTTTGACGTTTTGACTGCCAGTGTCCTTTCTGCTTGGCAAATCAGCTGTCTCATCTCCCAGACCTCCACGCTGTCCTCACCCTTGCCATTGTTTTTACAATAAAGCACATGTTGTGTTTAATTCACACTAAAATTAGAAGTTTTATTGGAATTGGAACGGTGCTACGGAAAAGTTAAAAGTTTATGTGTGTAGGAAAGTTTTGATGTGATTAAAAAGTTGGAAGTTTGAAAAAAATTTTAGAACTAAACACGACGACAACAGAATTACTCCCTAGATACTGTACAAGGTACACGTAAAGCCCTAGTACTACTGTACGGTATAAACAACTCTGGAGATCAGGTGACTTGCAGTACAGTCCAACGGATAAGGTTTTTGGGGAGGTAAAAATACTTGTAGCAACTGGTAATCAACATGCTTGATTGTCTAATATAATGTGATCTTGCAGGTCCCGGATGCTCATCCGTCGCCTATGGCGCCGCCCAGGAGCTGGGCCCGTTTCTGGTCAGGAGCTACGGCGAAAATCTCACTCTCAATGCCTACTCATGGAACAAAGGCAAAGCTCTGATTAATTCTTCCTGCCTGAACTCTGAAATTGCTCTTCTGAATCATGTCTGATCGAGCATTTTGCGTCGTTGCTGGTTGCCTTCAGCTGTGAATCTGCTGTTCCTTGAAGCGCCCGTCGGCGTGGGGTTCTCCTACACGAACCGGACATCTGATCTCCGACGCCTCGGCGATCGTGTGACGGCGCAGGACTCGTACAGCTTCCTCCTAAACTGGCTGAACAAGTTCCCAGAGTTCAAGAATCGGGACTTCTATATTGCCGGAGAGAGCTATGCTGGTACAGCCTAAACGTAATTTGTTAGCAGTAAATTTGTTACAGTACTATAAGCTTCATGGTGACCTGCAACTAAAAATAGTAGGAGTACCACTCTCTTCGTCCCTATATATGTGCATCTATATGAGAGGACATGACATATTCAGATACGCTTGATAATCTTGTCGCTGAATCTGACTATGATACGCTTTTGCAGGGCACTATGTCCCACAGCTCGCAGAGCTAATCTACGACGGGAACAAAGGAGCCAGCAGAGACAGAGTCATCAACATCAAAGGTTTCATGGTAAGCACTCTCCCGAAGGAATCCGGGAATAAAAAGAAAGAAGAAAAGAGCCGGACCCTCTTATGCGTGCAATCATGCTGTTAAGATTGCTACTAAGTGCCATGCAGACAGCTTTTACGACGCAAATCATGCTTGAATGCTTAATTAGTGTTCTAGAAAGATAAAGCAAAAGAGAGAATGAAAGGAACCGTGGGGTGATTGATTCTAAAGATGGGCATACGCGTGCATTCGGATATACCCCACTTTACTCGCTTTATGCCGTAGTATAAGAATATCATGGTTTGCGTCGAAACTTTTTTAACTGCGGTAATTATTTCACGCCTGTGAAAGTAGCACTAACATTTCTGCGATTGCTGTACTTTGCAACAATGCAACTAATAATTGCGACGAGTTTAGTTTCTTTCTCTTTTTTTTCACATGGAGTGTGCGATTGATGCGAACAAACTTTTGCTGTCTCGTGCAGATCGGCAACGCGGTGCTGAACGACGCGACGGACCAGATGGGCATGGTGGAGTACGCGTGGAGCCACGCCATCATCTCCGACGAGCTCTACTCCGCGGTGCGCCGGGAGTGCGACTCGTTCAAGGAGGAGGAGGACGGCGGCAAGCCAAGCAAGGGCTGCTCCCCGGCCGTCCGCGCCTTCCTCAGGGCCTACGACGACATCGACATCTACAGCATCTACACCCCGACGTGCCTCTCCTCCTCCTCCTCCTCCCCCGCGTCCGCATCGCCGCGCCGCTCGTCTCCCGGGCTCGTCGCCGCGCCCCGCCTCTTCTCCAAGCACGTAAAAGTTCTCCCTCCCCCCCTCGCCGAGCTAAAACGCCACGGTTTCCGCGAGAAAACGCGCGCGTGATGTGGTCCGTTTTTTTTCTCTTTTGGCTGGTGTAGGAGGCGTGGCGCAGGATGCAGCGCGTGCCGGCGGGGTACGACCCGTGCACGGAGGAGTACGTGAAGGGGTATTTCAACCGCGAGGACGTGCAGCGCGCGCTGCACGCGAACAGGACGGGCCTGAGCTACCCGTACTCCCCCTGCAGGTGCGCACGCTCGCTCTGGTTCTCTGTACAATCTCCCCCACCCATCCCGACATGACGACCTGTGCCGCTGTGCGGTTAATCCCGCGTGCATATGTTAAAGTCTAATAGTATTACTGTACGATCGATACTTCCAGCGACGGACGATCGGTCGATTGTTCATCGTTGTGTATTGATTGACGTATTATTATCCTGCAATTACTCGTCCATCTGCTAGCTGCCTTCCATATTATGGCAGGCAGACCCGTCGTCAGATCTCTGGCGTTGCGACATTGATTCCTCCATATTGTACGCACGCCCTGACCATGCGGTTTACTCCTACTGTAGACAGTAGCAGAATGGCCGTATGGGACAGTAGCAGAATGAGCTGCAGCTCCGGCACCCTGCTCATCAGCTCATGTCATGTAGGGATAAAAAAAAATGTGACTGTAACTCTCTTGTATGTTGTGCTGCAGTGAGGCCATAAGTAAATGGAACGACTCGCCGTCGACCGTGCTCCCCATCCTGAAGAAGCTCATGGGCGCCGGGCTGCGCATCTGGGTTTACAGGTGCACTGCTCGAATCCTCGAAGCACCCACTATAGACACACACTCTGCTGATATCTGTCTTGTTAACGAACGTGTTCGTTTGTGATGGTGGCGCAGCGGTGACACGGACGGGAGGGTGCCGGTGACGTCGACGCGGTACAGCCTGAACACGATGAAGCTGCGGCCGCGGCTGATGCGGAAGACCGCCGGCGATGGCGCCGGCGAAGAGTCGGAGTGGGGCGGGTGGCGCGCGTGGTACGACAGGCAGCAGGTGGGCGGGTGGGCGGTGGAGTACGAGGAAGGCCTGACGCTGGTGACGGTGCGCGGCGCCGGGCACCAGGTGCCGCTCTTCGCGCCCCGGCGGTCGCTCGCCATGCTCTACCACTTCCTCCGCGGCAGCTCGCTGCCCGCTTCGCGCTCCCGCTGATGAGCACTGCTGCCCAAGTGCAGCCATAGCTTTGCTAACTTTGCTCGATTGGATAGGGAAGGCAATGGTTTTAAGTGTGTAGCATTCCGTGAACAATTGGGAATTGTTGTTCTCGGCTGGTACAAGCACCCTCTGTAACCCGCATGCTACTACGGTTATCATACGCAGCAGTTGGAACCTTTACGTTCCGGTGTCACGGAAATTGTAAGTTGGAGCAAGTTTGAAGCTGCAACTGCAAGCTTCTGCAGTCCATAGGGCACAAGAAGAACAAAGCCTGGTGGTGTCCTTGAGAATTGGTAGTTGCTGGGGACGGGGTCTAACAACGAACTAGGCCAAAGGTCACCAAACTTGAAATCATACCGTAGTATTCGACGAAATTTGCATTGCACAATATAAGGATAACATTTTCTAAGTCTGAAAACAAGCAGCTTATTAGTGTTTCGGATTACTCACCGTTCCTGTTTTTCTGAATCACTAATACTCGATCACCCAATATTTTGGTTAGTAACTATGAAGGTTTGAATGGTGATAAACTAAATGGAATAGTTCAAACCACAGACTAAACGCATCTGTTATATTCAAGTAACTGACAACACGAAGGGTGAAAATACTGAATAATACATATATACAGGGTACCAGTACATCATTGGGACTATGTAACCAAATCTTCTGTGTACTCAACTCATCACATCCAAAAACCAACCAGATTGCAAATATCAGGAACGGATGCGAGTATAAAAGATGAGTATAGAAATTAGAGCTGTATTGGAACAATGAATACACTGCCAGTGATGTACCTCTGGAGGAGGCACCAACACCACTGAGTAAAATTGTAGTACAGACAATATTTACTGTAGTATCATGTGGTCTATTACTTGCACAACTAGTCACATATGAAGGCAGAAAATTTACTATGTAAATTGTAGTAACATGTCTACTAGAGTACAATGTCAGACCAACAGGATTGAGGTCAATGTGGCATTCAGGTACATGCACACAGATTAATCAACAAGTGAGCTGATGACAGTGGTTATATGACACTTTTCAGGTGATAACTTTGGTATGAAAATTCACAACTATTTCCTAAGTTAAAACTCTGAAGCATATGAAAAGGGTACTTCTTAAGCATTAAATATCAGTTTCATGTGTTATTAAGCCATGACTCAGCTATATTGCTTCAGGGTCTGCAATCATCCCAATGAATGCTTACTAAGTACCGTTGAGGACTGGATAGCAGGCCATGTTAAGATCTAAAAGAACCAAATTCAGTTCTCATGGATGGTGAGGTCCATGGCTCCAAATGAGCTTAAAAACTGTCAAACCAGGTATGGAAGCCTTGTAGGATTCAAGATGATCCCAAAATGATGGGGCTTAACTGCTTTGCCATTTTATTTCTAATGCCGGACGGGTTCAATCAAGCATCCAGTATGATAGCATCAGGAAAATGCTAGACAGCTCTGCTCTGTATATGACTGACATAATTAAAAGGATGGCTATTGACTGATAGTGGGAACATTAACCAGTTTCATCTTCCAATTTTTGATAGCAGGAACATTAACCAGTTCATCTTCTAATTTTCTAATAGCAGAATTCTGTGAGCATGTCTCCCTTTTTCATACACTACAAGAAAACGAAGTCTATCAGAATCTACCATTGTAGTACAGGAAAAAAAAACACTACGATCTTATTGGCAATTGACTATTCCGCGAGAAATGAACCCTAGTTGCCAGTGTGCTCTACTCATGTTGTGTATACATGACTTGCTCTCTAACAACAGTCACATAAAGTATAGGCTCAACTGAAATGACCATACCGTGCAGTTATGAATAAAGCATACACGCCAGGCTAGTCCCAAATACAAAATCAAGCCTATTGTAGAAAAGTTGCAATTCCTGTCCATATGAGATTCATTGCTTTCTGATAAACTGTTTTAACACTGCATTTATCAACATCAATGGGGCTAAGCAGGCAAGGGTTGAATTCATTATAAGAAACAGATTAATTCAAGTACCAAAAGAACAGGCTGTGCAAGAATTAAACCTTAATTCCAGCAACACAGCTACAGGAACGCAAAAAGATTTGCACCTTGTGACCATTCATCAAGCTGGAGATGGTTCATCAGTTGCCTTGTTAGCCCCATCTCCGCCCCCGCCTAGGTTTGGCAGATCGCTGCCGACGGCATCAGAAACCAGTGAAACTGGGCGGTGCTCGATGACCTCGTCGATGAGCCCCCAGTCGTGCGCCTCCTCTGGATCCATGAACATGTCCCGCTCCATGCACTGCTCGATACGGTCGATGGCCTGGCTCGTGTGCTTGGCGTAGATCTTGTTGAGACGGTCGCGCACCTTGAGGATCTCCTTGGCGTGGATGGCGATGTCGGACGCCTGCCCCGACGCGCCGCCCGACGGCTGGTGGATCATGACGCGCGCGTTGGGGAGCGCCCGCCGCTCGCCGCGCGCGCCCGCGGCGAGGAGGAGCGAGGCCATGGACGCGGCCTGGCCGATGCAGAGCGTGGTGACCGGGGAGCGGATGTACTGCATGGTGTCGTAGATCGCGAGGCCCGCGGTGACGACCCCGCCGGGGGAGTTGATGTAGAGGTGGACGGGCTTGGCGGGGTTCTCGGACTCGAGGAAGAGCAGCTGGGCGACGACGAGGGAGGCCGTGTCGTCGGTGATTGGCCCGTGGATGCAGACGATCCGCTCCTTGAGGAGGCGCGAGAAGATGTCGTACGCCCGCTCCCCGCGGGAGGTGTGCTCGATCACCATGGGGACCAGCCCGTACTCGCGGCGCTGGGTGTACCCCGCCGGCGGCGGCGGCGCGTGCGGGGTCGACGACGAGAAGAAGGCCCGCGGCGCGGCGGCGGCGAGGCGGCGCAGCATGGCGGCGGGGCTAGGGTTCGGCGGCGGCGGCGGCGGCGGCGGTGCGGGGTTTAGGGGGAGATTGGGTCTGGGCGGCGTGGGTCCCGCCGCGGCTAGGCGAGGCCAAGACGAGGCGGTTAGAGGCTGACGAGTGGGGGCCACGGGGAGCATCCTGGGGTTCGGGAGGGAGCCATTGGTGGGTGTGCGGGGTGGGGCTCGCTTGTAGGTGAGGGAGGCGCCGGAGATGGAGGAACAGGGTGAGATGGGTGGGTGCGGTTGTTATCCATTTCGAGTGGGCCTGATGGGCTATTAGGCCTCTCAATGCGGTGCGATCTGGGCTGGGCCTCCGTTGAGGCCCAGATCGCACACCATTCATCAGCCTCTCGGGTCATTCGTCTTCTTCGCAAGCACAGCTACTAGAAAAAAAAAATCCGTGAAAAATCAATAAGTCGGCAAACGCAGTATTTCCACGTTATGTGATTATGTGAAGATTCAGGGAGAAAACAAATAAAGAAGAATATAGAAGCGAATCAGCGATGCCGGGGATCATCACAAGGAGATTAAACGTTTCTAGCTTCGGATCCACTCACACCTACTCCACTGTTCAATCTTGAAGGCTCGGAACAAATGCCCCCCCTTCATTTCTTAATTAATACCACTACAATAATCTTACTACATGATAATTTTTAAGTTCATCAGAAATGATTAACGCCGGGATGAGTAAGCACGTTCACACGTGAAGGTTTGACGGTTCTTCGATCATCAGTGCGTCGCGCAGCTAAACATACATGAGCTACTCCGGCTGCTAGCGCACTAGCTTCTCCCGTTAATTCAAAAGAACAAATAGTGCCTGCTTAACCACGCTGTCATCTCCTTTATAAAGTCTATAGCTACATAGCCTACACCAAAAAGTCCCTATAGGCCTATATATCTACTCCACGCATGCACGTACAGAGAATGCATACGCTGCAGCTGATGTTTCCTTCGCAACCAACGGAAGGTCGGCAGCTAGCGTTTCGCCGTGCGTGGTGTGGTGTCTGAGCAAGCGAGCACGACGCATGCATATATATTAGCATGCGTGTTTCTGAGCTACCCAGGCCAAATATATATTCTCTCTTGACAGGCAAAAGGTTTAGTAGTTGGCAAGAACGCAATACAGAAATAGATCTCAGCCGTCCGGTCAAATGCCCGCATGGTTCGAGTAGCGTCCTGGGCTTGATATTTTAAGTTGACGAAGCGAGCTGAGCTTGGTCCTGATTGATGCAGCCGGTACGTTGTCTCGTGACAAATGTGCGGTATATATAGATTCAGAACAAACAGGAACGTGGTTGATCTTTCATATAAAAACAGAGGACATGGTTGATCGGTCGTAATGTATATGGACAGAGTACAAACTGTACTTTGGGTAGGACGACTGAATTAATAGTTGTGAGCACAACTTGAGTTTTTCCGTATTTCTAGAAACAGTGGAGGAAAAACTTCAGTATGGAGTAATAAATTATAGTACTAACAGCTAAGCTCAACTAGATGACTTAATTACCATCAATTAATTTTGCGGAATTTTCTACAAAACAAGTCAGAATTTCCGACCACTATGCATATCCATGTCCACAGTTTTATGCTCTGTCGATATTGATATGTCATGGCGGGGCGGGTGGGCGGGGTGGCAATTCAGCAATAATTGTGAGAATACGAAATAAATGGTTCTCTTAGCGATACACAGACCCTTTGTTATAGAGACAACATATATTAATTTCTTTTTTCTACTTCCTCCGTTTCAGAATGTAAGTCATTTTAGCATTTCTTATATTCATATTGATGTCAATGAATCTAGATAGATATATATGTCTAGATTCATTGATATCAATATGAATGTGAAAAATACTAGAATGACTTACATTGTGAAACGGAGGGAGTAGAAATAAACCCAAGTATGTATGTTGGCTGTTGGCTCATACGCTCAAGCATGTGTGTTGGCTCCAACAATAGTGGGTCTTCGAAGTACAATATAATTTCCTGGTTCAAAATAGTGGCTAGCTTGGAAATAGCGGTACAATGATGCTGTCATAGGTAGGAGGTAGAATCAGGATATATCCTATATCATTAAAGTCGTAGTGACATTATTACTGATATATGGGTTTAGAGTTTATCGGATCCACATGTTTATAACGAAGTCACATGACTTTTAAAGGTTGAAGATCCTGATCTAGGTAGGAGAAGAAAGACACTAACCTATATCTTGTCATGTCGAAGTTGTTTCATAAAAGAAAACGATGTGTAATTATTATCTTAAGTTTACGACCATGTTTCAGTAGGGCAGTAATATAGGTTATCCATCACCTTTGATCTCCACTCTTTTGTCTCTTGATAGTTAGGACCTATTTGACATAACTCTAACTCTAAAATCAATGTAGGATTTGGAGATAGTAGGATAGAAGAAAGTTGTTTAAGCATATGTATATTTAGTGCAAAATACCGATGAAATTGATCAACCATGTATATTCTATGTACCCATGGCTTCAACTCCAAGAATTTATGGAGCTAGAAATGACCTACTCCAGAGTTCTTGGAGCTAGAGTTGTGCCAAACAACCCTTTAGTGCCCCTTTCTTAGGATGCTTGACATAACTACGGATATGTGTGTGTGTGTAATATTGTTTTTATATTTGTCTCAGTATTTATGATCTGCTATTTTGAATAGACTGACGTGCCATATGTAACTGTATTTTTCGCTGTCAAGTATGGGCATACTAAGTATATATTCAAATGCGATATCTTTTCTCAAGTTGAGTTTCAGATTCATAACCCGTTTGACAAGATGGATGAACAAAGATAAACTCGTAGTAATTTACAAGTTAAATGCGAGCCCATAGGACAAGCACAAGAAGGAATTAGGGACGATTTCTTATTGACCTACGCAAAATTCACACAGTCTATTATTTGCCACGAGGGCATCTCCAGTGACTTATTTTGGTGCAAACCGAATGATGAATGTGGGCCCTATAATAAGTAACTTGGTCCGATGTTTAGGTACAATATGTGTAGCGGTTTGTACATCATACAATGAGGGGCCATACAACTAGTAAGGGTGTGTTTGATTCAAGAGATATGGGTGGATAGACATGGACACCATTTTTTTTGTGGTGCTCAATTCATAGGCAAGTGAAGGATATAGCCACCCACTTGGGAATATTCTTTGTAGATTTCGGATGGCCTGCTCCACCAAAACCGGCTGGACAAAGCAGCCGGTGGGATTTTGGTGTCACGTGCCCGTGCACGCTCACCTTCCAACCCTTCGCTACTTTTTTCCCTCGCCACTTTCTCTTCTCTCCTTGTACTCTTCATCCACTATCACGAATCACCCTAGCCACACCTCCTTAGGCGGTGCATGATGACGGCAAGCAGGTTGTTATGACCGACGGATAGGATTGTTGAGCCGGTGGCGACCTATCAAGCAGCCAGCAGACCACTGCAAGCATGCATAGCCAACAACAATGCAACAAGCTAGAGGGCATCATTGAGCAGGGCGGGTGGTGTCTGGCGGTGTAGGGAGGCAGCGAGGGAGGTGATGTACGGCTGCTGCACGGGAGGTTGAAGGGGGAGGGGGTGATGTCGGCTGAGAAAGCGATATACGACATCAACACCGATTTCCCCCTCCTCAGTCCTCTCCCATGCTCCCAATCAGAACTTGTGTGCTAATTTGATTGGTTTTGATATATTGTGTCTATCTTTGTCGATCCATGTATGTGTGTGAATGTGGCAAAGCTAATTATATATCAAATTGTGGCATTGTAGCTAGACAGCAAAATAAGGCTTCTGATTTATGCGGCTACATCATATATGTTGTTGTCAATGATGGCTATGATTATCGATTCTAGAAAAAAAAGAAAAAAATATTACAAGGGGAGAAGGGATTATCAATGGGCCAATAGACGAAAGGGATAGGAAGAGAATTGATTATCTTAATGATAATAGTTGGAGAAATGATACCATATGTGTGAGTATGCTTAGGCTTGGAAGAGCATGTAGTTTTATTGTTAATTTCTCATGTAGTATCACAAGGCTGACGTTGAATATCTAAGGGTGTGTTCGACACTGCCGATTCCCAACTTCCCCCCCTCGTTTTCCACGTGCACACTTTTCAAACCACTAAACGGTGTGTTTTTTTTTGCAAAACGTTTCTATATCAAAGTTGCTTAAAAAATCATATTGATCCATTTTTGAAAAAAAATAGCTAATACTTAATTAATCACACGCTAATAGACCGCTCCGTTTTCCGGGTGTACTGTTCCCGGTTGGAAACCTCCAGTAGCGAACACACCCTAAATATTCCTATTCAGAATTTTATAGTAAGATGCATGTGATATTTGGCAATAGCTTGGCCACAGGAAAATATGCAATAGCTTGCCCTTTCATAATTATGGTAAGATGCAAGTGAAGGTAGCATTACAAGGACCCGACAGGAGGTAAGCAGCATGCCCCCGTGCCCGCCGCCGGTGTCGGCGCTCCAGCCGACGCCGCCCATGCGTATCCTCCGACGCCCAGCCAGCTTTTCCGCCGCCTCCTGGCCGTCGTCCCAGCGCTCCGCAAGCTCCTCCCAGTCACGCCAGTTCTCCGCAAGTTTCCTCCAGCCGTGCCCGGAGTCCCCGCCGCGGCCTCCGCGCAGATCTGGGCGTCCCCCTTTGGCCTCCGTCGCCTCGATGGTAGCAGAGACGCCAGATCCGCCACCTGCTGCCGCTCGCCGGTCCTTCGCTGATGCTGTCCGTGGTCAGGGCTTCCCAAATTCAAATTTGGACACTGGCCGCACGCGCTCTCCGCCACGCCCCCTATTCAAGTCGGCATTTACCTCCACCGTCCGGCGCAACAACCGCTCTGCTCGAGATGTCACTCCGCCGCGGAGGAGTACTCCCTACGACGCTAGCCTTCCTCACCGTCACGTCGCCGAGCAGAAGATGGATGGCCATATCTCTGCGGATTCGCCTTGGATTCCGGTGCATCGCAAGCGCAGGTGGCATAGAGAAGAGCATTCATCCGCCTCCCGCCTACCTCCGCCTTCAAGTAGACAGCGCCCCATTTACTCCTCTTCGTATCATGCGTTCTGGGCTCAAACAAGTGGGAAATGCTTCATTTGCGTCAGCAAAGAGCACCGCGCTGCACAGTGCAGGGACCTGGTCTGTTGCTTCAACTGCCGTCGTTCCGGACATCGCGCGCGTGACTGCCGGCACCGTCGCGCTGTGCGTGCGC